GAAACAAAGTACAGTCTTGTTTTTGTATGTGTGCATGAGTCGAGGTACGAACTATACATAATCGAAGTTTCGCGAAATCCACCGATGATGAAGTTACAGGCATGGACGTGTTTTCGCGCTCGGTAAGTAATTTTTGATCAATGTTTTTGTCTCTTGTTACCGTAGATAAAATAAGTTTTCGTGTAGAGTATTCTATCAGTAACTAGCAAAATATACTTAGATACGTCTCCAATACTTAATTTATGACGTTTTCCTATTAATATTAAAATAAGTTATATTTTGTTGTTATTCAGTTAGTGGGGTACTTTCGGACAGCACTAGATGGGGCACATTTGAACGAATTGTGACAACTAAATTTGTATGAAAATATTTTGTCGACACGAACTGTCGTTTTCATACAAATTAAGTTTTCGACTTGCTACATACAAATAATAATAAGGCATCTTGACTAAACCCTCTGGTAGGTAGGAAAGATTGTGTTAGTGTGCTAATTGCTCTAATATTTGCATTAACTTTGTCCTGTGTTGCTATCATTGCTATCGTCGATGTATATTAATACCTATTTTTATTATCTTTATTAAGGTTGATTTTGATGCCTGTGAACCAGATGCTTTGAATAATTTACCAATCCATCAAATAGTAGTTCCTTCGAAGTCAGTTTTGACACCTTAAGGGTTTCGACTCTATACGCATGTTGTAAGAAGTAATAAAACAAACAAAATGACGACGGCCAGGAAAACCACGAATTTATACTGCCACACCCGAAAATAAGAAGTGCTAATCCGCACCAAAGATTAAAGAATGTGATTCTAAATTTAAGATACCTAACTAATTAAATTTTGGTTTTCTTAAGAAAAGCTATGTAATTTTGGTTCCCTAATAATTAAAGTATTTTATTTTTTGTTTATTAGAAGTTAAATCTTTATTTTTGTGTTTAATTTCATTGCTAATAAATGAATTTTGATTTATATGTGTCGTTTTAATCGCACGTACGGAACTACCCCACAGCGTACGAAGGTACCCTCAACACTGTACGAAGGTGCCCCGTTGATGGGGTAGATTCGTACGTTTTCCAGATTTAGTTTAAATCATAATTATGGTTGAACCATCAGATGAAATCATTTGTCATTTTCTTATATGAATCTCAGATAGTTAGACTATAAATTTAAGCTTGCAGATGATTGATTCATGGAAAAAAAAAATAATAAAAAAATAAAATGTGAAAACCGTACGAAGGGTCCCGACCTTCCCCTATATTATCTGAGTTATCAAACTACGTAAAATGTCATACGATTGTCTATTGTCATGTCGTTAACATTCGAATTAGTGAGATCCTATCAGTTAGCGTATTGTCTTTATAATTTTAATGAATTTCATACCAGTCACATGCTTTGGCAGCCGAGTGGATCCTGTCAACGCTGACGTGATGATAATGAGAATGGTAGGTAGTTAGATTTACTGGCGGGAAATTATTTTCATATTGCATAGTTTTTATTCAAAGGAAAGTTTTGTTTTATAAAGATCTAATTCACTTATTTTTGGTATAGAATCTTTAGAATCAAATCAATTTAATAAGCCTAGTAAATAAAACATGAATTTAAAAAAGTCAAATGTCATTTTCAAAAATTCAATTTTGACATACTTATCTCTTCATGGGTTGTTCAAAATTCACTCCTAATAAAAAAAAATAACGATTATTAAGAATGTTTCAGTGGTACTTCGAAATATAAATAAATTTTCTTGTTTGTTTAACATAGCAGCACCTTGTTATTTATGGCGATATGCTTAATCTGATCTAATCGTTAAATGTTAAACACAATGTTGTCTCAAAGGTGTTAAACTCTTAAAACAACGGTCCTTTAACGGCTGACGCTTGCGTAATTCGCCATCTTCGTCGTTTATTTCACAGTTTACAAATATCACCTTGTAATTGTCCCTTTTTGGTATCATCAAACAAATTACCCATATAATAATAAAATAATATACATTGAAATAAATAACTAAATAAATAAACAAAAATATATCTTTAAAAGGGGCCTTTAGGTAAGGTTCGGAAGATGGTTCCCTTTGCTGACTTTTTCTTTTTCCTTCGAGGTATGCCAGATCTTCGATCAGTAATTACCTCATATTATATTACCATCAGTCATATAATTCAGTCTATTAAATAGTACATTTAGAAAACAAACATGAAATCTTTATAACAATCCAGCAATTGTATGAGCTTTCCTAAAAGCTTCTTGCGCTTATCAGACTACTCTAGAAATTTCAAGAAAAGAGCGAATAGCATTCTTAACCGGCAACGGAATGGCAAGCGTCCAGACAGGTGTCCATGGGCAGTGGTTAGCTCTGAGTGACCCCAGCATATTTTTTCAGTTCTTGTCTGTGATTAGTTCAGTTTGTACAACATCTTTGGCAACATTGGCTTTATGAATAATTTCAACAAAGTTAGGGACATACCCGTTGACTTGAATCGCAAATGGTAATTACGTTCTTGTTGGCGCGTGGCGTCGCGTCATACTGGACACTGGCTAATTCTCGATATAACTGGATCCTACTGACGCGAAAGCCTGTGGAGACGTTCTCAGAAACTTGTTTGAGAGCTTTTAATAATTATGATACTTACAGTTAGTGCATTGTGATTAGATGAACTTATTGAGCTTATTTTGCCTATTATTTTTTAACTATAAAAGCATTCTCAATGTTTATTTTTATATTATAATAATTGGAGTAGTTCTATTCTATTGAGGCATGCTTATGCTCTTATATATTTTAAGAGCATATCATATTTTAAGGAGTACGTTTCGGTACTTGGTTGGAGCTCATTAGTTGTCAGTTGTTATCACTAATAGTTTAAGAAATACCTAGTTTATTTCCTTTTCCTTCAAAATTGCCTTCACGTAGCATTGACAAGGAGGAAAAATAAAAATAATTCTCGACTGTTGCAAGCGCCGAACGAAAACGGTACAATTTGAAATTTAAAAGCAAGCGAAACGTTTATTAATATTTGAATAAATACATTATTCAGTCAGATGTAGCTTGGAAATAATATATAGATCTTTTTTCTTTATAGTCAAGTAGATGTTATTCTTGACATACTTCAAATGTTAGACCTGCTGGTTTCTCACGATTTTCCGTCACTGTATGAGAAAATATTATTTGTTCCATTGGTGCACAGGCGGTATTCGAACGAACGACCTCAGGGCTTCGAATAGGCTTTAGCCACTAACTCTGCTCGAATAAGAAATAAAAATATGATCATTCATTATAACTATGCATTTCAATGTGTAAGATTAGAGAATCCTTTTAAGTGAAAAATACCTGTGTCAGGGTTCCCAGCTCTTGAATATGAAACTTAATAAATAATTCCATAACCAAGTGATTAATTTTATTTGTCTTTCAATTACAATTTTGAAAATAAATTTTTTAATCCATTGATAATTTGATTTAAAAAGTTATCGCTTTAAGTTTACCAATTCATAGGTGTACTTGTTTACCTACATGAATACAGATATTTTGAATAATCCTAAGAGCCCAGGGCTCTTTGCTTAGGCCAGACCTTCGTCATTTTATAAAAGCTGAAAGTTCTTCTGTGCGTGTCCCTTATACAGGTAAGAACGACCAGAGACTAGAGTTTGGGTAGTGGTTAGTGCTTTGGCAGTAGTAAAGGTGTATAAATATACCTTAAATCTAAATATAAAGCTCAATTTTTTATATTTTATTAGGGATAACTTTATAAATATCTATACATTCGGACATTATGACAGTTCTTCCCCCTCCAGACACCCCTAAACTTAATTAATTATAATTATACTTTGTTAGAGTATAAAAGTAAATTTTATATATGTATTGGGGACATAGAAAAATGATACCTCAATAGCGGACAGTTTCAATGGTTTTAACCCTAGAAATTGAAAGTCCGCTGTAGGTCCGAGGACGCTTAGTCTTTACTACCTGTTATCTGCCAAAGTAACCACTACCCAAACTTATAGTCTCTGGTCGTTCTTACCTTATAGGGAAACAGAAGAATTTCAGCTTTTATAAAATGACGAAGGTCTGGTAGTCCTGGGCTCTTGATCTATTATAATTATGAATGATAGTTAGAACCAATCTCTTGTTAGTGTGTTGTCTTGTCATGTGAAATTACACCGTAAATATAAAGACATTTTTTGTTATTTATTCATTAATTTTTTTTTAATATTATTAAATATCAGATATTCTAGTCAACACTACAAAAAGCGTGGATGTCAATTTAAAATGGTTTCGGTTGACATTGACAAGACCCATTATAAAAACCGCAAATAATAACAATATGGAAAAATTAATGACCGTGAAAATAACCATATAAGAGGAAATACTTTACTAGATTTATTAATCAACAATCAGGGTGTATGTTACTTATAATACTCTAATTTCCAGTACACTTTCACCTAAATTTCCATTTACTGCATCGTAAACGATATTGGATTTCTTCAGTTAATATGTAATAAAAAAATCCTTTAAAAGCACTTTTACTTATTTTTTCATACATAACAGTAAACGGGCAGGAGGCTCACCTGATGTTCAGTGAAACCTCGGCCCAAGGACTCTCACATTGTCAGAAGGCTCGCAAGTGCGTTACCGACCTTTTAAGAATTGGTACGCTCTCTCTTGAAAGACGCTCAGTTGTAGAAGGACAACTGAAACGGGCGGAATTTTACCGGCGTTATCTGCCTTGGTAAATGCAGTAGAAGATGCAGAAAGCCCCCACATCTCTACAGAACGCCAAGGCAACAAGACTGGTCATCTTAAAATGCACATAAAAACTTATTGCAACTACTTTGAGTCAATTTTTTCACCAATTTTTTTTAACTTTAACTTTATATATAATTATTAACTCTTGTTTCTAAGAATAGCTTCCATATATAGAAAAACAATTAATTTAACGCTTTTGTTTCAGGTTTAAAAAGTATAATATATACGTATTATGCTAGCATTGTATGAAATTGAGTTAAGTCAGTACAATGGTATCCGATAGTTCTTGCGGTGTAAATAATATTGGTATGGAGTATACCAATATGGGAAAGAAGGAAGAAAGCAGGTAATTTGTTAAATAATTATAGAAACATAAATTCATGTCGTAGAAAAAAGATTAGATTTTAAAAATCATTATTTTTCTTCTACTTTACTGAAGCGTTTTAATAAATAACAGGAATAAGCTTTCCTAGAATTAAAGTTTGACATATAAAGTTGTGAAATTAACACGACTTTGAAGTCCTCCCCTTCGATCTGTAACTCACTTTTCGAACTCACTTCTGAAAAGGTGGGAGCTTGTAGTTTATTGTTTATCAGAATGCCAAATCATAAAATGACTGCTTCACGACTGATTTGAGAGCGACCGCCGATGCAGAAACCGCTGTGTGATTTCGAAAAGTGAGTTACAGGATCGCAGGGCTGAAATAATATTGACAATTTTATAAATATACCCGACCTTTTTTAGATTTTCCGTATCAACAGTGGAAAACGATGGTAAAAAGAACGGCATACATATGGGTGCTGCTATAATTACGAGGCCCCTACGGACATCTGCAGAAACTGTGGAAAGAGGGGACCCTAACCCACAGCCAGATACCTGGCTTCATGACGCTGGTTGGCGGAGAAAGAGATCTTTAGCTCAGCTTACGCGAGAGGCTCTACCGCGAATGGAAAATTATAGGAATTCAAAGAGAGCGTTAAAAAGACCCAGCCTTGGAGAATTGCACGGTGACCATCTTATAACCGAGGAGGTGTGTAGTCTTTATGTAGATATAGCTTTTAAATATGCTTTTCTGTTTTCACCTCAACGAAGTGACGTGAGTCGTAGTTATTTTATTACAATAATGAGATATTTTTAAAAACGCCAGGTTACAAATTAATTAATTCATTATACGGTAGTAGTGAACATGTAAATTTAGCTTACAAATTCTATTCTACATTCAAAAACGGCCAGAAAATTTGTACATTATTCAAATCGCATTTCATGGCGGATAATAGATTTCCCGCGTTCAAATCATCGTTATGGGTCTTAAAATGACTTGTTACTTATTTCTTAAATATATTAAGTATTATGGTATAATAGAAAGAGTTTTGTAATTAGGGTTTGATATCAGCTTCTGTATATAATGTAAATGGGATTGCGCGTAATATGATCACCTCATTAATATTAAGGGGGAAAATACCACGTAATGAGGCATTTATTACTAAAAACGTTTATTTTATTGAGATCAAATCACTACATTCTTTACTTAAAAACATTGCTACTTTTAATACATTTGCCGTCAAACTTTAAACCATCAGTATAAGAGCAGAACATAATTACAAAGTGTAAAATATAATATTACAAGCATAACGGAAATACTTGACAGCAACACTTGAATTACTAGCGTATTGCGATTAGGTATCTTTAGAGTTAAGCCAATGAGTGTAAAATCCGACGTTAACAAGAAATAACTGACTTAAACTGGATAAATAAGACCTAATGACCAAGTTTCATAAAACCTGAAATTCACAAAAAGGATCACCATTGCTATCAATTATTGCTACAATACAAAATTGATTTTGTTTGGAGGAACACAAGATGAAACACACGACTGTTAGGAGGCTCATCTGATGTTAAGTGATACCACTCCGTGAACATTCTCAATGCCGTACGGCTCGCGGGTGCTTTACCGGCCCTTTACGGTTTCTTGCTTTGTTTCTTAGGAAACCTAAAAAAGCGTAGGTTTTGTATAAAAGGTATATTTGTTCACGGGGCAGTTACGTTAAAAAATTAAATTTAATATTTCACTTATAGTTTTATATTTCATTAATAACCTCTTGATTCGTAGATTCGTAAGCCTTTAATACATATTAAATGCTCTTTATCTCTCTCGTGACAGTTTGAATATAAATAAACGGGATAGAGCATTCTTAAATAATCTTATACATTTATGAATATAATGCCCTTGATTGTACGAGTTAAGAATTTCAGCAAACGAATAAAATTTTGAAATGTTTATATAACAAACCTTGTAAATCATACATTAATCTGAATAGTAAACTATAAAAATGTAATGGTTTTCCTTGTAAACAAATCTCGCTTTTGATGAAAGATTAATTTTTATATTAGGTTTACCTTTCCTCAACCCTTTAGTGATAATATAGCATCATGAATCCTTCAGCGTTTCACATCTACTTGTTTGTATAAGTCATCAGACATCTATGCTTACTCATGAGTAACTTTGCCTAAGACTAAAGGCGCAAGAGCCTAGTACATACTCGTACCTCGACAAAAATAAGTGATACGAAAAATTAAATTATTTATAAAACAGATTGATAAATTAGCTCATTCAGAGGATGCCCCTAATTTATCAAGCACCGAATAAAAAAATATAAAAAAAATTTCCCCTTTCCTATATAAAGTGAATTACGTTTCATTCATCCCTAATTTGGAAAGTTCGGGCGATTTGCGAAAGTTACTAACTTTCGCAAATTTCTCGGTTTAATTATAAGATTTGATTTTTACAGTCGCAGTAATTAGTTTCCAATTGTTGCTTATGAAGTAGCTAGAGGGTCATGCAATGGAGTCCAGTGTTTAGTCTGAGATAATCGCTCCATCTAAAAGTGACACCATAAACAATGTTTTATTAACTTTATAAACACAGATAGTCGGACAGGCGGTGTCAATCATTTTCACCTGTTTGCGCTTTATCTGTGAACATGTAATTATATTATATGTACTGACTGTGCGAGATAATTATATTGTTATGATCAACGTAATCGTGAGATACTTGAATGAAGACATGAGTTATCTCAATGCAGGGCATCTAGATCTTAATCCATAATTTACATTTGGTTTGTTCTTTGTAGATAAATATGAATGACGAAATCACTTCTTATAGTTTTGAGAAATAAGTAAAATAATAAAATACTACAATGAATTTTAGATCATTATTACATAAAGTAAAAACTTAAAGACTAATTTTAGTACCAAAATAGAAATAAATAAATATGGCTAGTAGCATTTCCTCGCCGTATTACAGTCTGTCTACCTTTATGTTTTGAAGTAAAACATTCTAGATTAAAATGACAAAAGTTTATCTAAATTAGCGTGATAATTCACCAACGTTTTTACTTTATTGCACAATGTGCAATTATTCAACTTCTCTTGGTAATGGTTAAACTTCAAAAATAAGAAATTGTAGAAACAATAATTCAATATTCAATAAGTTCACCCTTGTTTCTGTATACAATTGCCATATTGGTAAATACGTATATTGTCCTTGCAAGGACCCTGAATACAGGGCTATATTATTGTTTTTTCATTAGATTATGAAGAAAACACTATGGCAAACATCGAACATTGATAAAGGAAAAAACAAGCGACATTCCAATGTTGCAATATTTTTTTAAGATCTACCAAACAATATGCATTAAATCTATGTTCTAATACATAATTAGTGACGCAAAGACTTTACTGATTTGTTTGTTTTGTTATTAATGAGGACAGGCCACAATATAATTAGAATTTAATGAGCTAATGAATATTTTTTTACGATATTAGTAAATGAGTAATACGGTTATTGTGATTTATTTAAGATTAGATCTGTTGATGTGTTTGTAATTATAGTTTTTATTGATGGTCTATTTGAAAATTAATTCTTTTTCAGGACGAAAAGCAAAGTCAAAGGGACACAAAATCACCTACACCTGCCATCGGAATAAAACTAGGATGGATTCAAGTAAGATTTAATATTTTCAAATCTATGAAAAGTAGTACGACATCTTTTGGTTTCCGTCTGAACCTGTTGTTTCATCTAATAAGGGGTCACCCACTGGACCCCTTAGGATATTTGGAGGAGAGACTTAGTGCGAACTATGACTCTTGTATGTCAATCAATATTCAATAAGAGTATAGGTCCTTCTTGCTGTCTAAATTCATATGATTATAATTTTTAACTATTTACATTAGTGATATTTTTCTCTTGGTGATTCTATAACACTCTGAATGCTCAAAGTTCGATCTGCGTAGTAGCTTATAATCAAAAATAGTCAATATTAAGGATTAAAAGTATTACAGGGCGTGTTGATACCATGTCTGCTGAACATATGGGGTGTTATGCTGTTTCTGAGAATCTCTTGGGTGGTATCTCAGGCCGGGATTGGGTTGTCTCTCGTCATCATAGCGATATCGGCTATTGTGTGTGTTATCACTACTCTTTCTATGAGCGCTATTTGCACGAACGGAGAAGTTAAAGGAGGTAAGAATGTTATGTTTACACTTCATAAATATTAATATTTAACTTTATTATGTATGTCTGATAGAATGCTTGCGAGTTATAAAATCTTTGAATTTATAAACATTTTAATTAAGTTGGATATTTTGTATTTTTTAATAAAATATAGGTATAATAAAGACGCAAAATATCGCAGCATATGACGTTACTTCTCATTGATTATGTGACATAAACTTGTTTCTATTACATAATATGTTAAAGACTGCATAAATCACCATAAATTGATCAGTCAATTGTTTGCATTTATGAGTTATAATAAAACTAGGACACTGTTTAGAATCAGTAACCTAACATTTGTATATTTAAATAGGTGACTGGCGTGCCTTGCGATTCTGTAACTCACTTTTCGAACTCACACAGCGGTTTTCACAGCTGCGGTCGCGCTCAAATCAGTCGTAAAGCAGTCATTTTACGATCTGGCATTCTGATAAGGAAGTTGTAGTTTATTGTTAGTGAGTGATTAAAAGTGAGTTACAGAATCGCAAGGCTGGTACTAAAAACGGAAGCATTTTAGTCGTTTACCAGGCAATAAGACCGAGAACAGGGAGGCAGATGGATTCGATAGAAGCGTATCTCACAATAATTTTAAATTACATAAATTAATAAGGAGTCGCTTTGTTGATTGTAACTAAATTCGAAATCCCGATCGAGTATTTTTAGTTAATTGTACATTGAAACACCTTTTATGCCACTTCTAACTTTTCCATTTTGTAAGGTGTTATAGCCGTGATATTTAATAATCAAAGCAATAATTATAAAATTCTTATGTCACTTAATAGTATTTATAATAAAACATATTAAATTAATGTCATTCTTATTGAATATGTATGTATATTATTCCTATAAGAATAATAGTTACAAAAATTATACACAAAATGTGCGTAGACATTATTCGTAGCAATGCTACGTCAATATTTTAACTTCTTCAAAATCATTATTATCACGCATTTAGATTATTTAATCCAACGTATTAATTTCTAAATTGTACTTCATTTAATTCAGTATTTGCTACCATAATTTTCATATGAAAGTAACATCGTAACCATGGAAACTCACTTTATAATAAGGTTTTTAGAGATTAGCAAAATTTTTTGAATAAACAACTTATTCCACTTGAAGCAGAGTGTTTTAGTATGCAGAAGGTGATGATTAGAGATTTCACAAGGAAAAATAAGATGCAAAAAGAAATCATTTATAACGTAGCAAGTAATAATGTATAATTAAATTAATGGAATTTTACAAGAGTAACAGCCTCAAATTATAACACTTAAGGTCAAAGTAAATTCATTTAATACCTCATACATGTCATATAAAATAGGTAACAATGATTTTACTTTAACAATTACTTAAGTCTGCAAAGTTATGAGGTATATTACTATAAGCGAAATTTTCATTGAAACATTCCAACCTATTTTAACTCACTTAAAAATTTATCTTTCAAATAGGTGGTATATACTACATAATATCCAGATCACTTGGACCGGAATTTGGAGCGTCAGTTGGAATCATATTTGCGTTTGCAAACGCGGTAGCGGCTAGTATGAATACAATTGGGTTTTGTGATTCTCTAAATGACCTATTGAAGTCTCAAGGTGTGAAGATCATAGATAATGGTGTTAATGACGTGAGAATTGTTGGAGCTGTCGCTTTAGTTTTAATGTGTATAATCTGTGCGGTCGGCATGGATTGGGAGAGCAAAGCCCAGGTAATTCTAAGTTTTTTACTATATTTATCATAATGTAGCTTAAACTTACTTACTAACTTGTAAAAAAGTGAAAGTAGTCAAGGACAGTTGACATGACGAATATTCAAAAATTAAATTTCTATCACAACTGGTTTACTGGTTAACCTTGGGGTTCACATGGACATATATTTTTTTGAAATATTTAGAAATAATTGGTACAGTAGTGTTTGAGTTGTAACAACATACACATATACACATTTATATTATGAAAGATACATAACTATTGTGAAAATAATAAATATTTCTGTATTAGTCTTAAGTTACACAAATTAAATACGAATTAGGCTGATAACAATTTGTAGTCTGTTGTTTACGCAAAAAAAGAAAATTACGAACTACCAACTGTGGTAATAACAGCAACAATTCAATGTATAATATTTTTAATACAAAATAAAGAATGCATCTGCTTATCTCTAAGAGATTATCCATTAAAAGATTTATGTATGACACCATTATAGGTGATTTGAAAAGTCAATAAACAATAACAATGTATGTTTACGGTTAAACATCGTACAAGTTATTTAATCACCATATATAATTGATAATTAGTTATAGAACGTACGTTAATGTTTTTGATGCCATACTGCTATTGTTTATGCATTTATATACATACCCAATCATACATTCTTTACCAACATTTTACTGGCTGGAAAACTTATTCTGTTACTAGAGATATTTATATAAGTTTCACGCTTTTGATTTACATTCATATGCCGGACAATTAGGTATATCTTTACTCACATCCCATAACTTATAAGCTTGCGACTTATTTAACAACATTTCATACATAAAATATATTAAAATAATACATTTTTACATGTAGCATATCCGATATATGAACCGAAACGGTACTAAAATATACTAAAATACAAGCTTACATAATGGTAGCATGTAAACAGTAACAAATGAACAAGTGTAGGGAGGGGCCTCGACCTTCGATGGACACCCTCTGAAACAATTCCATTATCATTTGATACGTAACACTTAATTGAGGTTATAATTAGTTAAAACAGAATTCCTAGACATAAATATTTAATAATAGAAACTTTTTTAATGACAAATAGGTTGTGACAAAATTCCTCTATTGCTAGTCCCCACTCTAGGGAGTCCCTATGTTGTGGGTAACTAGATAACAATTATTCCGTGGTAGGTACGTATATGGTACAGGTTTAAAACAGTTTTTGTAGAAAAATTAATTTTAGTGTTACAACTAATCAAACACAAGTCTTATAAGACATGCGTGAATGTGTGAGTGTGAATGGGTGTGAGAGTGTAGCTGAGAGTTGTTATAAGCGTGCCCTGTGTCTGTGTTAGTTTTTGCTAAGATACGTAGTAACATTCATTTAAACTTTTCTACTATGCACCACTTATATATATATAATAAATTGAAGAAAAATAATACCAAATATAGATTATTCATACTGTTTCTTTGTTGATTTCTCTATAACTACAACATAGAAATAGTTCTTGTTTAAGTAAAAGATTAGTGCTACACCGTTATTTAGTGTTTAAGCGTAAACTGAATCATACCTATCCATAGAATATGTTATATTAATTTATTTTAATCATTCAATACTGATATATTTTGATATCGATAACGTAAAAATATTTTTTACATTCGTTTTTTCGCCTTAAGTATGTAGAAAGCGCATTTTTACTTAGACCCAAGTTTTTACGAAAATCTTACTGAGAGTATCATACGAATAATGTATATTTGGGAGTTTAACTTTACAGTACGAACGAACTTAAATTTCAATCATTGTCAATAGAGTATATTTTTAAATGCTCAAATCTAAATTGTAATTTTTATATCCCCTGTACTAAGCTTACACTTCAACAATCTATTTATACTATTTCAATTAACGTAATTTCCTAACGACGTGTCAAAAATGTTTGTTAAATGATTTAAGTACTAAATCTTTAATTCAATTTGGTCAAAATGACTAAGACGCAACTTTATGCTATCGTTCTATTAGGGCACTGTGAATTCAAAGATATAAAAATTCTTTGTTAAATAAAATCAGATTCAATAATTAAGGTGTAAAAAAATAAGAGATACCCATTATGTTGTGGGTACCTTGGTCCAAGGGGAAAACGGATTGGAGACAAACTAACATATTTGTAAATTGTCACCACTTTTCACATTACGTCGGTTATTAAGTAATTTTACCATGGAAATTGACTAAACTACAGAAAACTGTTTAAACCTAATTAATGTAAAGTGCTCAATTTATATGTATGTTCAAGATATTTTAAAAGTACTTGTCATAAGTTGTAGATATACATGATACCAGTGTTTTATACAAAATAAACAAGGACAACATTTTGATTAAGAGGAATACATTCCTTAAAAAAATTCCAGAAAAAACATATATGTATAAAACATAAACTAATTTTGGGGATACTATAGTATAGTATCCCCAAAATTAGATCCGTTGCCAGTTAATACGAAAGCTAACTCATAAAATATGTTGTCTTAGCACATGTTTGTAACGAATTTAACCTTCAATTTTGCTTAACTGGACCGTTTTTTCAGAACTTCCTAGTTGCAATCATCGTAGGAGCATTGGTCGACTTCGTCGTTGGAACAATTATGGGGCCGAAAGATGCAACGGAAATAGCTCAAGGCTTTGTTGGATTTAGCGGTACGTAGATATATTGATCGCTCGTAATAATAAATATAAATATATCGTAAGATTAAAAGTACTGAGGAATATATAAAATACATAGAACCCTCGTATTATTATAAAGAAGTTGTAAAGTTATGTCATGTATTACAATAAAATCTTACAGTTTAAATTATAGTAATTTTCGTATTACAGCAACAACATTCACGAAGAACTTCGATCCCGATTTCCGGTACAGCGAGAATCTTGACCAAAATTTCTTCAGTGTGTTCGCGATATTCTTTCCATCTGTGACGGGCATCCAAGCTGGAGCCAATATCTCTGGTGATCTGAAGGTACGTAAAAGCATTATTATGCAACATTATGTTATACAAGAATTTATCACTATATTTTAAGCCAAGCGCAAAAGCGACGTTAATAAGTTGTATTTGTATATATTGACGACCTTATTCATAAACGTTTAAAAAGACTCAGGACAAAACATTAATTACCTTGTAGAAACTTATAGTTCCTTTATGAATAAATAAGATATTGTATAAATAGGATAAGTGTATTTGTTATTATTGCGTAATACCTACTTTTAACGCTTCGTTTAAAGCAGTCGTAATTAATACGAGTTTTCAATAAAAACTGATTTTTAAGAAGCTCAAATTTTAGTTTAGATTAAATAGCGAATACGTGTTACTTTCCAAACTAATGTTTAATAAATTAATTAATGAAAATAGCATGCGCCTCAAGCGTGTTCACAGTTAATACATATGTTTGTCCCATTCCCATACTACGTCGGAACGAATCAATGAGTCCATGTTGACTATTTGTCGTCGTCCCATCGATTTTGTGACGTTACAAGCTCAAATTAACTCACTTTGCGCCAGGAACTTCCAAGAAAACTGTCAATATTTGTCATATGTTTCCTGACACGTGTTCCATAATGAGAACTTGCCGTCCGTAAGTACCCAATGGGGCATAGAAGACAGGTATTATTGTTGTTTATTAATCAAAAATTACTAATCTATTGTTATTCCCGAAAAAAGTTACGAGGACAATAGTGACGTCACATTAGAACGTTGGTTCGATTCGGTTAATGGCAAAATAGAATAACAGTTATACCTTCCTTGTGGCCTTTACCTTGTAGTTAAACGACATTTTTGTATGTAATTGTCTAAAATTTACGGATGTTTCGACTAAAGCTTCATTGAAATTTGGTTTTTCTATAACTTTGAAGGTTTTAATGGGAAACATAATAATCCTTAATGACCCAACGTCCGAATACGATAAGCGGTGCTAAGCACCAATTTTAATATTTAAGATGTGATTATCTCTGTTATATATTTACAGTATAAAGCAAAAAACTGTTTATAAACTACGTTTTATAAATTTTTTGTCTACCAGCCATTGATATACAAAAACCCAAGATGCACAATCAACGTCTAAAAAACGTCCTCAAAAAATGAGCGCAACATTCTAAATTGCGCTCATTTCAAATAGTCTCGCGTCTATAAGTGGAGTCGATGTTATTTATTTGTGTTTTTTTTATAAATAAATTTATGTACTCTTGAACTTTTTTGTGTGTAGTTTTTGACAAATATATTTACGCTATATAAAGTGTGGGTCAGGAGGTAGCCAATTTAACATTTTTTTTTAATTTAAAGAAAAAACTTTTTAACCGGATTAATGTTATGTATTATTATAAATTTACAACTATTTAACATCCAACACCTTTTGTCTTCAGTCACCGTGACCACTCACGCTGTAAAGCACCCGAAAAGTCGGATAAATTTAAAATTATGTTAAATAGTTGTAAATAAAAAGTCATGTTCGACTCCACTCAATACCTTGTCCTACCGACCACGGTCGGTCGTAAAATTTTATTGCTTTAAGTACGTATACACTGCGTTGTAATAACAACTTTAAGCAATTCGCGTAAGGTTGATTTTGCAATAATATATGCTTGTAACATATACTGTTATGGACAGAAATAGTGTTTCGGGACACTTTCGAGCGTTTCTTTTATTCGAGACTGTGCATCTTGGGTTTTTTGTATATCAATGCTACCAGCTATTAAATACCAGATATTATAATGGGCGGCTTAAAAAAGAATAATAATAATATCGTTCGATATGGCATTTGACATCTGACCGATTAGCAATTGCTGTTAGGATCAAACATGGCGTCTTATTTATGCAAGGTTTTTTGCTCAACGAGAAAATTTATGTTACAAATGTCATTTCGATTAACCTCTCAGCTTTCAGAATTCGCTGATGGAATTGAAGCAATTGCTTACAAGCTTTAATAAGAATATATTGATGATTCAACTCTCTTTTTATAGCTGTTTCATTGGAACAGCTGCTTTGGAATAAAATGCGTATCAAATTATTGTTTTGGTTAAAGTTTAGTAGTGTAAGAGCGAGCGTGGAATAGAAATTGGTGTGTATGTATATTGTATATACTGGCATACAAGAAGTTCCCTTGGTAACAAACTTGTTATAAGAAAAACATGAAGTTGATTAAAAAAATGTCCTACAAAAAAGTATTGTATTTCTTTATTATAAATAACCCTAAATCTTGATCTATCTCTTTTATCGACTAGTTAAAACTTTACATTTGGTCTATAAGGTTTTATTTTCTATTGGATTTTAATACTTTATGAGGAGTTAAAACTTACATTTTGTTGCAATTTGATAAGCATGCCATTTAGCACGCCCGCCCGCCCGTCGCTTCATAGACGAAAGTATATAAAGATTTCAATTATTCAAAATCGATATTGCATTATACAAATACATGCATATACAAGCTTAAAACGAGCCAAACATTACTCAAGATTTAACACGTTTAAATGGAATTTTGTACCTAACGAAAATAATAATCGAGTGATTCATGATTTCACATAAAATGATTCATACAACTCAAGAAGTCAACAATCCTATTGAGACTCTAGCTTTGGTTAGTATTCTAAGAAGATCATTATGATGTTCAAATCTACATTAACACTTTTATTACCTATTTATGATTTTCTCGAACAATATTCAAGAAGGATTAGGTTTGATATCCACCAACAGTGTCTAGAAATAAAACTGAATTTCGCTGCCATGTAACAATGTTTCGTCTGTTGTTCATATTATAATAATAAAGCCTTTTTTATTTCCTATCGTTAGTATTAACTCCTACTAGTATTATAACCTCCTGTAGTTAGTATTTATTTATAGCCCAATAGTAATATGTTAGTCGCCTGTGGATATGGACCCATCTTGGATGAAGGCTTTCCAGATTTGTCTATCTTTGCCAATAGTCTGTCAGTCTATTCCTACTATTTCTTTCCAGTCATCAGTAATTCTTTTTGGCTTGCCCACTATTCCTTCCTTCCTTCGATTGCATATTATAAGCTACTGGATATTTTAAATCTTCGTTTAACAGGAATTCAGACTCGAATCTTACAAGGCGCTTTTTATATTTTCTAGGACCCAGCCTCGGCCATACCTAAAGGTACACTGCTTGCCTTGCTCATTTCCATGATTAGTTATGCGGCTATGGTCCTTATATCTGGGGCTGGGGCTTTAAGAGATGCCAGTGGAAATATCACAGACCTGATAATGGCCAATGGAACAGTGATAGACAATAGCGCTCTGTCGCATTGTGTCAACATTACCGGTGGATGTCAGTTTGGACTTCACAATAGTTATTCCGTAAGTACGAAAAATCATTGAATCTTAAGTAATGTGTATTGGGGTTGCCTGAAAGAAACCGCTTAGTAAATTTCTTCTTGTGCAATAAAGAGTAAATAAATAAATAAAAAGTTATCTACAATGAGAATTATAATCATTTATTAATAGACACAAAAAATAGAATTACTAAGCTACCCAAATAATGTGTTTGAGTAGCCAGTTCTAATCAAAGAATCTGGCTACTCAAACACATTGATTAATTCACAAATAAATGACATAGATTTTTTTCTTGCGTTACTGTGCAAGCATTTTTGTGAAAAGAAAAACAAGTTCATATATATATATGTTAATCCGAACCAGAACATATAACAAAATACAACAACATATATACTATTTTTATAAAAGACAGTATCGCTATTATAAATCTCAATTATATCAATAAAAGCATCTTTTACACATAAACAGTGAAAGCTGTTTCGATGAATTAGGTTAAAAGATTTGAGGCTCAACATATATTCTTCCTAATTGACCATAACCAGAAAGTTTAAAGTTTTAGTTTTCTTTAAGGTGATGCAACTTATGTCCGCATGGGGTCCATTCATCTACGGTGGCTGTTGGGCAGCGACATTATCAACAGCCCTGACGAACCTTCTGTCAGTTCCAAGATTGATCCAAGCCCTGGGAGTAGACAGAATCTATCCTGGACTCATCTTCTTCTCAAAGCCTTATGGAAAGCACGGCGAGCCTTACAGAGGATACGTTCTGACTTTCTTCGTATCTCTCGTGTTCTTACTTATAGGTACGGTCTAAAATTAATCATATAATAGACAACAACCTACGTTTAACAAAAAATATTTGTTAATCAATTAAGTTATAAACAGTTATGACTCTTACCAGGAAAAGTTCATAAAAATTACGCTCGCGCACTCAAATATTACCAAGCTGCGATGTACGCGTAAATGGTTTTTCCATGTGATCATATTGGTAATTTTTGTTCTAAACGTGTTCATCACTTTTAGTGCCATTAATATATATAGGATAAAGGCATTGAACTAAATAAATGAGCGTCTATATTTCCGCGATTAATCGAGGTACCTAACATTTTTTTAAACAGCTGATTTGAATACAATCGCACCACTGATATCCAATTTCTATCTGGCATCCTACGCGCTCATCAACTTCTGCACATTCCACGCAGCACTAGTACGGCCCCTCGGATGGCGACCTACATTCCGGGTAAGTTACACTATAAATAAAAATGACTGTTATTCTTCAACAATACGACATCCAAGACAAATAATGTACACAATTCAGGTATGCGTTCAATACAAATATTCATAACATAACAGTACATTTTATAAATATTGGGGGAAATAAACAAACCGAAAGATAAATAAAATATAAAACTAAAACTCGAGAATGGCTGGATCGATTTCGCTAATATTGCTCTTGAAATATTTGTGGATGTTCAGGGAAGGTTTAAAATCGTTTAAAACATGTTTAATATATAAAAAAAATCAAAACCATAAGCGTAAATAAATATATTTTCCAATACAATTCTAGCTTCGAAACATTAGATATATTTTGTTTTATGTCTTTTGTTCTTTTTTTTAGAAATAAAAAATTGTCACTTGGTTGTTAAGCATTCAATAATGCAGATAGTAATTTTGTACTAAGGTTTGACCACATTTAACAGAAATATAATATGTAGGTGATTCGCAGTTCACCGGGCCATCTAGTTTAAAATAAAATTAAATATATTTCACATTAAAGCAGTACTGTATTTCTTTTTCAGTATTACAATGTTTGGGTCTCCCTGGTAGGATTCCTGATGTGCGTGGCAATAATGCTTCTCATCAGTTGGGTGATGTCACTTGTGACATTCGCGATCTTCTTCACTCTATACCTCATTGTTCACTACCGCCATCCAGGTAATGTCTACGATTTTTGTATTTCTGCAAAAAAAATAATATACATATTAACAAAAAAATTCAATTGTCAAAATATTTAGGCGAGAAAACATAATATATTTATATACCATATAAATAGTTAATTTAAAAGTTGACACATTGAATAAATCTATATTTAATAAGTGGAACCTAAACCTAAAACTTTTACAGTCAAGTGCTTAAACAAGGTGCTTAGGAATACAGTCAGTCGTTATGTTCGTGATATTGGACCAGTATTTTTAAATAAGGCAATAAAATACATTTATTGTGGGCCAAATAATTTGCATAGTATAAGCGAATTATAATTTATGCGCATTATAAGGAGTTTATTTTTAATAGTGACGGTGAAATTTTTAAAGATCTCTTGTTCATACATTCTATCATGATCTAATTCATATGAACATTCCTTGAATTTACGCGAAAGAACGTAAAACATATCATTTCAAGTGGCTACAAACGAGAACAAAGTGACGAGTGAACTAAATATGCTCCTAACATTGAGTAATGGCATCGTTTTCCACGGAACATATTTAGATATTTGCTAGGAATAGAAATACCATAAATCAATGATGTATGGCAGAAAATCGCCTTGTAGAATTGTATCGTAAGAGTACATTTTCAATAAAAATAGATAGGTGACTCAAATAGTTTTTCTTCTAAAGAATTTCAATGTTCATTCATGTATTGCAATAACTGTTTATAAACTGATTGTGCTTAAATAACATAGTTCCCGGATAGCTATGTGGGCCAGTGTCGATAGAAATTCTGAGAATAGACCCAACACGACGTAAAACTACTCAAGTATCTTCTGAAACTAATAAAAATTTTGACATAAAAGGCACAAAGAATTACGGTCTCCAAGTAGGAAGTAGCTATTTGTAAAAGCATACGAAATTGATTTCTGCATTTTTCATAGATGTTAACTGGGGAAGCAGCACTCAAGCGCAAATGTACAAGACGACATTGTCAAGTGTACACAACTTAGCACGTACAAGTGAACACGTAAAGAATTATTGGCCACAGTTGTTAATTCTGGCCGGGAAGCCCCAGGACAGGCCCGCTTTGATAGATCTAGGCAATCTCATTACGAAGTCTGGATCTCTCATGATTGTGGGTGACGTGCAGCAGGTAAAAGCATTTTTGTATTAGAGAAACATAAGTTTGAAGGCAGAACTGTACATATTTAGTAATAAACAAATTATTTGCGTCTACATATGTGGAAGTGTTACCCTAGTGCGACTATTACCCTGTGTTCCAATCCAGGCTGTGTACCAATTCTTTATATTATGTATTTTCAACTTAAAAATAGCGTGAGGAAACCGCATGTGTCTCAGATAGAAGGCGGATTTGTTTTAAGAAAAATAATCAATGAAATACATAGTTGCGAAAAACGAGTCTTGGTGTATATTAATACTATGGCTATGTATGTATAATATATAACAAATTGTTGATAATCTATATAATATCGTAAGATTACCTTATTGTAAGATAAATTACTTCAATCAAGTTCGGCGTTACGACCTTAAGTGAATCTTAATGTTATTTTTGTTAACTTAAAGTTTTAAATTATGATAAATTATTACAGAAGAAACTATCGTACAAAGAAAGATCATATCGATTACGGGCGAGCGACGAATGGCTACGAGAGCGCAAAGTACGCGCGTTTTGCGCAAATGTGAACGGGTACAGCTTTGAGACCGGCGCACGCGCATTAATACAGTCTACCGGTGTTGGTAGACTTGTTCCTAATGTATTGTTAATGGGATACAAGACGGATTGGACTACATCTTCTGCAGCTGACTTGGAATCTTACTTCAATGTTCTACAGTACGTATCTTCTGTACAACACTTACTTAAGTGATCCATGAAATACCGATATTATTGACCATTTTATGAAATATATAATATACACTTTTCATTTCTAAAAACTGTTTATCAACTGTAATTAAATGAACCCAATTTAAATTAGAATTTAAATTGGGACATTTAGTTTTCAATTTCTAACAAAACACTAATTGCAACGAAATGTTCTGTTAGGTTGTTTTTTTTCTATAGTTAGTCTTGGTATGTAGGTGTAGGGAAATATTTAATATATTAAAGTGATAGTGACCATGAAACTAATTAAAATTCACATAAATATTGCCAAACTATACAAATCATTGACCTCAAAAGGACGTCATAGTCTGCATAGAACAGGTTCAGGATTTTTAGATACACGTAAATGTTGATTTAGTACGCTTGACCACATTATCTAGTTTTATCATTAAATGTTTTAAAGAGTATATAATACTAAAAAGTAAGAATAAAGTTTGAACTAACAAATTTGAAATATGCATTTCCATTAAGATAAGTTTTGTTCTAGTTGCTACTTGCTTGCTAGGTACCTTCATGTTATTTTTCAAACATGAAGGTATGCTTCTTGTACAACCTCTTTTATTAATAACTTGATTTAATTTTCCGATATATTACTCGTAGTTCAAGACTGTCGGAATTCACAACATTCAATTGCATTGTCCATTATTTGTTGTGATAAAGTTTAGGTTATTTTTTTCTTCTCTATATAATTAGTATTAAGATTTTGTAACGATCGAAATTGTTCGGAAACGATTAAATAAATCTAAAAAAAATAATGTTTTGTTTCAAACATTGAAAATGTCAAACGTTTTTCTTTTTATACTTTTTTACTAGATCCAATGTTAATTCATATTCATAATAAACTCTTACTTTCCAGTACGCTCAAACTCATAAACTTTCTATGACTTACAGTACAGCATTTGAGAACCGCCTGGCAGTTGCAATAGTACGGATAGCAGGAGGTCTGGACTTTGGGCCTGTAGCAGAGGAGACGCCAGCTAGTGGTCTCACGGGTACCTCAAGCACTGGAGAGCTGCGTGTGCGACGCGGCCCACTCATTATGCACGCAGATTCAGACCTTGATATACGTGGAGACTCCACACCCAGCAGCAGACATAATTTGAGTAAGTTTTTCTGTTAAACTAACAAGCTTTTCTTTCCAAGATCTGGATAAATCTGTCTCTTCATTCGGGACCACATAACTCACTTGTCCACTATAAATATATTATATTTGACTATTGGCGCGGCTGCACTCGCATTAATTTTATCTAACGGTGTGAAATATACTACCACAAATACCCCGACCCGAAATATTTATATATTAGTTTGAAATCATAAAACCTTATTCTAAAACGTAAAAAATCTCTATATTAATATATTTCTACAGATTTACTTACTTTGACGACATCCCGTTCGTTTACTATATCAGAGAAGAGTGATACAAAGGAAAAGAAGAAAGATAAGAAAATAGCAGATATTCCTCGAAATATAATATATAAGTCAGCCTCCGGGATAGAGTTATCTATGGAACAGTTATCGCAAATGACGTTATTTAAGAAAAAACAGGTAAAAATGTTCTCAGTTCTAAAAAAAGATTATTCTATCTGTATTCAAAAGACCCTACAGACTAAACTTAAATAGTTGTTGAATTTAAAACGATTATTATTTAAAAATACAATAAGTAACGCTTCTGTTTTATACCGCATGATTTAAAAGACCATTGACTACTTACTATTCGAGTCGGCAAAATGACAGCTAATATCTTTAAATTCTTAAAACTTTTGATAACTAGACAGATCTATGAAAATAAATTAATGGTCTCGCTCACAGGGGGCAATTTGATTGTAAATTTGAAAATTTATTAAAATTACTTGGAATTTGAATTTCAATTACTCATTATATTTTGAAAATTCTGTTACCAATTTCCTAGTCCTTAAACGTTAACTAAAACCTATCATTTAAGTAAACAATTAAATTTTTTATATTAAAAATTATGCATGGGAACCACTGGTCCAGCCATTACTACTCGACTCACACTATATACCTTAAAAATACAAATATGTGTATCAATGTTTATAGGAAAGTGGTACACTTGACGTTTGGTGGTTATATGACGATGGTGGACTAACAATTCTACTACCATACATTATATCTCAGCGTAGCGCCTGGTCTAACTGTAAGTTGAGAATATTCGCGCTCGCCAACCGACATCATGAAATGGAGCTTGAGGAAAGAAAGTAAGTCAAATTTTTTAAAGTACGCTGTTAGGTTGTGACACATAGCTAATAATAAAATATACTATGTAATCAAATGAATATTCCATTTATACTTTAATGCGTATTATATACGGTGAGTCCTCAACATGTAGGAGACACCCCTCACCTATCTGCATATCACTGGTTTATATTAAGCCCTAAATATAATAGTAGTTTATGCAACTGTCATAATATAATAGGGGGTATTAAAACATGAGTGTAGTTTTATTATTTTTACAGTCTGTTATTGGTCTATTGGCTCGGACCCAGCGCGTTGCGCGCGCATCGCGCTCACCACAGATAGTGTGTACTTAAATTGAATTAAATCCTTGGTCGGGACACATTGTACTTTAATAATTAAAAAATTGTTTTAAAGCATTGTTTTGTTAGGAGAATAATGCTTTAATTAATTTTTTTAATTTTCTTAAAGAAGAATGTAAATAAAACATGCCAATAAAAGTCTGTATTTCATTTCATGATTAGAATATTACCGAATGAGATTATATAAAATATATTTACTCACGTCACTCCTAGGACACGTTTAAGAACGCCGGTTTATTATATTTCAGCATGGCAAACTTATTAGGCAAATTCCGTATTGACTACTCTTCCTTGACAATGGTGCAGGACATCACTGAACCTCCCAAACCCGAAACAAAACAGTTGTTTGAGGACACAATTCAGAAATTCACTGAGGAAGCTATGGGTGAAGGTAAAGTAAATAAATATCATAGCATTGAGCAAAGCAGTGGCGTAACAACAAAATGCCACCGGTCCCCGACCCAAGAGATATTTGTTCTATGGATGAATGTGAAGTCTCCAATACGCATTGGGCTAGCGTGGGGACTACAGACCATTCCCTCTCGCCTACGAGAGGAGGCCTATGGCCATTAGTGGGACATATACAACGTGTAATTGAGTACGCTGAAAATCTCGAAGTTTATTAAAATAAACTGAGTACAACGTGACTTTTACTGATAAGGCCCCATCAAAAGAATTTGCCACGGGCCTCAGGTGGTATAGTTACGCCACTGTATTAGAGATAAAGTTCTCTAAAGATTTTATAATTCATCTATATCCAATTTAACAAATGGGCACGTAACACAAAATACCCGATTTCATAGGCTTCCTTTATATGATATCCAAAATTCAGGATCTATAAGAGCCAAGGCTGTACATTATGCTCACTTAGATTTTCTTAGTTTTAAGCGCGGTGAATTCCTAAATCGTGGCAGTTACGCCTCGAGAATATAGTCAGACGCAAGCACTTTTTTCAATATTTACGTTACATTGTTCCATAGCAATTAACATTAAATTATCTGCATTTCTTCTATTGTTGTAAGTGAGTAATAAAATGCTCTATTATTAAAAGCATCCCGTTGATCCAGAAACCGTACAGGATCTATTGAAAGAATTTATGCTTAAAAAAATTATTATTGATTGCGCGTTTATCGGTAGACACTTGGCACATATATTATAAACCAACGATGTATTTATAACGATTAATATTTTATTTTATTTTAATTATGTAAAATAATTGTAAATTTATAATACATACATAACTTCAATCAGGTAAAAAAATATTGTCTTTAAAAAAAATTTTTTTCTCTAGATTGCTTAATCAGCAAAACGGAACTATCGACACTTTGTGAAAAGACCAACAGACAGCTCCGTCTGCGAGAGTTGCTTCTGGCTAACTCCAAGGATGCGCGCCTCGTTGTCATGTCCTTGCCGATGCCAAGAAAGGTTACTTCCATTCTATTAATATACCTCACATCTTCCCATCTTTCTTCTTATTCATTTTTTTTATAAATACACACCTTGTGCGCTATATTTGACGAGTGAACTATTTTATTTTCCGTTCCTCTTGCATTTTTATTCATACAAAATCTTAATATATATAAACTACGCGTCACGTTGTTTGTCCGCAATGGACTCTTAAACTACTTAACTGATTTCAATCAAATTTGCACACCGTGTGCAGTTTGATGTAACTTAAAAGGTAGGATAGCTTAGATCTCAATTTATACCCGCAATATTATTTTATTGCAAATTATTTGTTTATTATTTGAGAGTCACAAATCTAACAGATGCCGCTGTGTTGAAAGTACCAACGTTTCACATAAACTACATTTTAATGGCATAACCACCAAAAAGCATGTTTGTCTCCATGACTGGTGTTCTCCCTTGAATAGTTTACTACTATTTAATATAACAAAAATCTAAGCCACAGCAACGCTTGGCCGAGTCTGCTAGTGTTATTATAATTCCAAGGTGAAGAAATGATTTCTAATTGCACATCTTCGATTTCTGTTTCCAGGGTTCCGTATCAGCTCCGCTATATATGTCCTGGCTAGAGATGATGAGCAAAGACCTCCCTCCGATGCTTTTCGTAAGAGGAAACCAAACCTCCGTACTTACCTTTTATTCATAGGCAGTTAAATATATTTAAAATGTCTGTTAAGTGTTAAATTGTAAGGAAAATACTTAAACCTAAGGTTACATTAGTTATAAGTTTATTTTTATTTCATATAGCTTTAATTTTTACCAGAACAAATGTGCCGTGAGTATTATTTTTATTAAGTACAACTTAATATGCACAAAGGCCTTGCAGGTCTCGCCTTACCCTTAGTACTTATAAAATCTGACTTATATTTTAGGTAGGTACTTAATTTTATCCTTTAATACAAAGCAATTTTCACCAAAGGCAACTGTTATTTAATACATAATAGCTTATTTTTATTTATTCATATAGAAACATTAGATATAATAATTTTAATTTATCAGTATTTAAATAATAATTAAGTAATTTGTTTATATTTTCTAATTCATTATTAACACGAGGCAGCGTTCAAGTTCCTGAGTGTGAACGAAACAGATATTTTTAAATAAAACTTTTTTACATTTCATACAACGTATCGCGTGCTTTACAGCGGTTGTATTCGTCTTCTTTTGAGTTGAGTTTGAATAAAAGAAGTTTTATCTAAAGGTATTTTAAAGATAATTTTATGTTCAGTAAAAGTAAGTATAAGTTTTCCTACAAAACATTGTCTCAGGATTGTGATATTTTCTGAACGAAAAAGTCCGCGCCAACTGTGTGACATTAGTGCGAAGTCAAAAGCGACTAAAAGCCTTGCGTATTAACCATAGTAAAATATTATTCTTATTTATGTATGAACAGTTTAAATAATCACTTGTGACTCATCACGAGATCAACGTTGAGACTTTCATTTGTAGTGAACAAAACCTTAAAGACCAAACAAACACAAGTCTGTTATGTCACTAATCTCATTTGTATTAAAGATAATTTATTTCCATCATTAAACACTTTTTTAACAAATTTAACTTAACGTTACTCATAAGTTTTGTTATAGTATCGACATGTGTATTATTATTTTAAGTTATTAACTTTAATTGGGAAAGACATTGATTTTTCGTAAATAAATTACCTATTTATGTATATCGTGTTGTTTGCTTTGAAACGTCCAATATACCACTCCCAAAACTTTATTGGTATCAAATTAAAAGTGTGTATTTTTAATTCGTGTAAGATTTTCGGAGTCTGAGTATAATACTGTCCATTGATTTATCTAAGAAGATTCTTTTTACTAGTACTGGGAAGAAAAATACTGTGGAAGGTGCTGCTCTTCCTTCGAACTAAAGGCCTGGCCGGCCCGAAGGTCTTAGTGGCTTAATTCGACAAGTTGAATATTTTCTTAGAGGGCGAGATATAATTGCCAGCGCATTTCAACGTCATCTCAGTGATTGTAACCGGAAATTGTTGTTGTCGCTACAATACTATATAGAAAAATTTCTGCATAGCTTAACTAATTATATTATAGTTAGCAGAAATAACTTTGAATCGAAAAAAAATAAAAGACAATTATCGATATTAATAAATTGATATACATCATACATTTTTGAAGATTATGTTACATATATTCACATCAGACATTTCGTTTGTGACACAAATTGACATACCAGAAGTGTCAATAAAAAAATATTTCTTCTATTACTTTAGACTTGATTTAAACGCACTTTCGTGACTACCTAAATTAATGGAACTAAGCAAAGGAAATTGTCTTTAAAAAATGAACAGAAGTAAATACGAAGGTAAATGAAATTAATTTTTTATAGATGTACCTGACGACAACGGTGTTTTATTGTGTTCACCCATATAAATAAATTTACGACACTAAAGTTTATAATACAATTGTTGAAGTGTGTTAATTTTTTGTCCGCAAACCGAGGTTATTTGCCCATAACCTACACAGTTGTGGAAAACGAAACAATAACATATATCATACTTGATACGATCAATTGTTTCACTTCAATGAGCAGTAATTAAAGCCTCAAATTAGTACAAAGACTTAGGTCATTTTACGTTGGCCAGTACCAAACCAGTGGGCAGCAGAATTCAGTCAGTCGTAACAAGTTGTTAGCAGTGTTGTAGCACTTTTTAATTAGCTTTAAGCGATACAATAATAATTGTTAAATTTGTGTAATGGCTACTGAGACAATTGAAGTTGAAGATCAATTATTGCCTTGTACTGATGGTAAGGATCCATAGATTGGCTAAAGTTTATATTCTATATAGATTCAGTATGCATTTATTTTAAATAATGTTTGCAAAATTGATTGTTTAGATTCAAAAACCGGAAGAAGACTCACGGAAGCAATAAGCTATAGACACTTGAATACATTAGATTTGACGGGCACGGCACCAGTACGAGAAGAGGTTGCTTACATTTCATTAATTTGAATAGAATTTAAAAGCGTTAGACTAAAGTCTTATGTAAATATCATTGTGATTAAAATTTGTTTACAACAGAGCAAGAAAAATATAAATTTGTTTTTTTTTTCATAAAAGAAATGTCGTTAGATCAATATAAAATCGCGAACTTCCCTTCAGGTTTTGCATCCTCTCACTACAGTATTGATAATATTGTTTTTATATTTACGCAAGTATATTAAAATATCTCTTCTGATAATATATATATACATATTTAAATATCTCTGCTGATTACGATATCAATAAAGTACTGAAAATCGAGATTTGGAAATAAAGTTAGAACTTTTCGTTTATATCCATTAAAGTACTTTGATTACAACAATAGTTATTATAATCCAATTGATTTATGGGATTTAAATAAAACTATTTAAGCGAAAAGAACACTTTTTTTGCTTTATTTAAATATCTAACTGTACTGTACTGTACCGTAACATTTTCCTCTTATTCAGGATTTTTAATTTCAGGAAAAAATTAAAATTAAAAGTAAAGACCCTACTCCTGAACTAAGGACTTATCATATAAAATTAGGATGGATACAGGTAAGTTTATTTTTGACTGATTTCTAAAACTAAACTAAGTATACAATTCATGTATTTTGGTTTATAAGAATTAGCATTTTTATAGTAACTATATCACTCAATTACTTTCTTTCGTACAACTGATTTAATCGACCGTTTTGTGTGTTTAATTTAGTGAAATAAGACTGCTTTAGTTTTAATATATTAGAGGTCTTTGTAGCCACGGATTTACCAGTTGCGGTGATGAAAACCAATAGCTTGAGCATATGTGTATGCCACCAGAACAGATTATTAAAAGCTTAAAATCGATCGTTCGACCACTTTAATTACAAGTTTCTTACCCTTCAACTAACGCCAACTTACATTTACAGGGCGTATTAATACCATGTCTTCTAAACATTTGGGGGGTAATGTTATTCCTAAGGATAGCCTGGATCGTGGCTCAGGCGGGTATAGCTCTATCGATTGCTATTATCTGCCTTTCGGGAGTAGTATGTGTTATTACTACACTGTCTTTGAGCGCTATTTGTACAAATGGAGAACTCCATGGAGGTACTATCTTATACATGTGTTCTATCTTATAAAATGTGATTATATATGTGACACGGCTGTTACTGTTTTAATATGTTAAAGAAAAAATAAGTTAGTCAGTGAAGTGTGACTACAAGTTTATTAGATATTTATTTATTGATAATGTATGTAATCAATCTAAAAACTGCCAAAATGTCCTCCTACCTATTAAATGTGAATACTTTTCAGGCGGCGTCTATTATATAGTATCTCGATCGCTTGGCGCTGAACTTGGAGCTTCCGTGGGTATAATGTTTGCATTTGCTAACGCAGTCGCCGCCAGTATGAACACTATAGGTTTTTGCGAATCCCTAAATGATTTGCTTAAATCACATAATATTAAAATTTTGGATAACGACGTAAATGATATAAGAATGATTGGGGCGATTGCACTATTTGTTATGTGCTTAATTTGCGCTTTCGGAATGGATTGGGAAACTAAAACGCAGGTATAGTTGAACTTTCTTAGATAAAGGTCAGCTAAGACTAGGTAAAAGCCGTCATGCACACGTTGCCTGTTTACTTTGTACAAGAAAAAGATTCGCTTATGTAATACTCCATTATCTTGTTACAGAATTTTCTGATAACAATTATCGTATCGGCAATTTTAAATTATGTTCTTGGAGTGCTCATTGGTCCTTTATATGCAGAACAGGACGCTAAAGGTTTTGTGGGTTTAAAACGTAAGTTTTCAACATAGCAAACAGTTAACGGAATATTTGCACATGACTTTGGTTTCGATAATATATATATAAACAATGGGTTTATTTTTTCAAACGTAATGTCGTAATGTCAATGAAATAATGTATTATGTTGTCATTAAATTAATTTTAATTTTAACTATAGGTCTATATGTAATTGTAAAGCTTGGTCCCTTCACACATGATTTATATGATTTTCAGTGGAACAAGCTAAGAAAAACTTAATGCCAGACTTTCGCTACAGTGAAAATCAAGAACATGATTTTTTCTCCATCTTTGCGATGTATTTTCCGGCTGTGACCGGTGTTCAGGCTGGAGCTAATATTTGTGGTGATTTAAAGGTGATATTTATATAGTAGTGATACATTAATTAAGATAATTATTCGTATTGTATATAACACGTAAACGATATCTACAAAGTTATTAAACAAGTGTAATATGTAAAAAGTATTACTGAATTATTTTAAAATCTATGGTAAAACACAAGTAAACAACAATGCAGTCTTGGCATAAAAATATTTCGTTTAGATACAGCTGCAAATGGCAAACAAATAATGTTAGTACAACCTGTTTTTTAGTGTTGTTTTATGAATTAAAATTTATATAAATTGGGGTTTGGTTTTGTTAAAACATTGAGAAAAATTTCACTTTATTCAGTATTTAATAAATATTGACCTAAAGCTTAAAAAATATGATTTTATTGGTTGGTAATAATTATTTGGTTTATTATGGAACCGATTCGCAATCAATGCGATTCCAATTGTCCTGCTTTGGTACATTTACATGAACAGACAGTTTATCCAGGAAAACATATTAAGTATCTTTATATTGTTATAAATTGAAATTTAACAGTCGTAAACTCAATACAAAAACCGTTATTAGCTTTAGATATACAGCTTTGTACCAAATTTTTGATTCAAGTCCAAGAAATGCGCACGCTGTGTGAGTTTAATTCTTTATTAGATTTTTCTTAATATTTAAGGATCCAGCAACAGCAATTCCTAAGGGAACGTTGATAGCACTTGCAATATCAGTTTCAAGTTATCTACTAATGGCCACGCTGTGCGGGTTTGCTGCCCTGAGAGATGCCAGCGGACATGTGGAAGATTTACTTGCCGGTAACATCGACGCCTGTAAACCAAACTGTCCATATGGTTTACATAATAATTATGGGGTATGCTGATGTAAATGTGATTATTTAACGATACCTTATAGACATCGATATGATACGATAGAAGTATGAAAATAAATCATCCAAATACACAGTAACTATAGTCAATTTTCGCCAAATATTAAAGAAATTATTGTATTATATAGAATCGTTTATGTATTATATAAAATCGTTTATGTATTATATAGAATCGTTTATGTACATGTACCTTACCCGTCAATATATACAGTACATTAACATGCATTTTGATAGATAATGCAACTGATGGCTCTCTCAAGTGAGCTCATATATGCTGGATGCTGGGCGGCGACGCTTTCAACGGCACTTACGAACCTTCTATCCGTTCCACGACTGATCCAGGCCTTGGGAGTGGATAAGATATACCCGGGACTCATTTTTTTTTCAAAAAGATATGGCAAGCACGGCGAGCCCTACAGAGGATATGTCCTAACGTTTCTAGTGTCATTATTGTTTCTTCTTATCGGTAAATATATTATATCTTACGTTTATTCGAAGTATATCATTTATTTTGTTAGACACAATAATGGTAGATGGAACACTATAATTACTAAATATGTCAATATTTTTTAGATTGTTTTTAAAAAGCGAAATTTAAAAACTCACGACAAAATGCCTATTGTGTAGAATATAGTGATAGAAGTATTTTATAATTACAGCGGATTTAAATACAATCGCACCGTTAATAACCAACTTTTATCTTGCTTCATACGCGCTCATTAATTTCTGCACATTCCATGCTGACGTAGTAATGTCTATCAACTGGCGACCATCATTTCAGGTAACTAAGGAAAATGTTTAAATTCTCACTACACATTATTAACAATCCGCAAAGTTTTTGGATGTATTTTTTTATTCATTTATTTACACTTCATTAAATACGATACATTTATAGAAAAACAAATAACATCATACATAATAATTATAAGGGATGCAACGGGCGATCTTATAGCTAACAAGCGATTTCTTCCAGGCAACCCTACTAAGGAAAAGTTAAAAAAAAGTACGATGGGTAAAGTGCAAGAAGCGCATAACCAAATCTTATAAAAACCAACCTTAATCTAAAAAAAAAAAAAAAAAAAAAAAAACTGAGAACCAAAAAGCTAATCTCACGGATTCATGGATCTCAGTTACCGTAGTTACAATTTAAAAAAAAACACGACATATTTTATCGAAACAAATATGGACGCGCCCTACTGCCATCTATGTTATATAATAAGGCAGAAAAACTAGTAAATATATTTTAGATCATTCAAAAACACTATTCTGAGATTTAAACCCGAAGAAATACTTGAAAAGCTCGCTTCGTGTCTAAAACCTTTAATTTATTTTTCAGTATTACAACAGATGGATATCTCTATTTGGCTTCTTGATGTGCATAGTCATTATGATGATTATCAGTTGGATGATGGCGTTATTGACTGTATCAATTTTTTTAACCTTATACCTAATCGTACTCTACAGAAAACCAGGTGAAAATACACTTCAAAGTTGCACACATTTTTTACGGCTACTAAAAGCTCGAAATATTTGAATTATTTTTCTAATATATGAAGTTTTATCGTGTTGCCAATTTATTAACTGAATCTGTGTTTGATTCACGCTTCAAGGTCTATAAATTCACCGGAAAATATATCTTAAAGCTTTTTGAGCATAAGAGTTCATAATGTAAAAAATAGTCTTATTATTATAGACGTGAGTTGGGGCAGCAGCACCGAAGCGCAAAGATACAAGGAGATTATCTCAGCGTTAGTACAGATGTGTTACATGACAGAAAATGTAAGGTCTTACAACCCACAACTGCTCGTGCTGGCCGGCGGACCCTATTTACGACCAGCCCTTCTCGATTTGGGACAATTTATTACTAATACCGGATCGTTTATGGTCGTTGCTAATATACACGAGGTTATTATTTATTTCAATATTAATGTATAAGGTCAGAAAGGCATTTTAATTAGAATTCTAGTGAGTTGATCTCCAGTCAACAACAGTTTTGCCGGTCGCACTAGTATTAACCAATTAGATCATATCAATACTAATATGTATTTTGTATGTTTATTATGTATCCTAACGAGAGCACCTGATCTTTTTTTCAGTATGTTATTATTATGTTATTTTCAGTCACATTTGTCGTATACGGATAGAGCCTTGCAACAACAAGTAGGTGAAGAGTGGCTTCACACACGTAAAGAACGTGGCTTCTATGTCGTGGTCGATGGATGCTCTCTTGAGGATGGTTTGAGAAATTTAATACAATGTTCTGGACTTGGGCGGGTTTCACCGAATATTATGCTCATTGGGTTTAAAAATAATTGGCAGAAGGCTGCTTTCAACAAAGTAAAGACTTATGTTAAATTAATCCAGTAAGTATATAAGATATTTTAATTTAAATTACGCATTATTAAGTTAACATTATAAAATTAATAAGCGTAAAAAAATCATAAAGTTAAAAATAATACCAGTAAGAAATAAATGTCTAACACGAACGAACTGAACGAATGTCAGTTTATTATTAGACTATATGTAAAAATGTAACGTTTAATATAAGAAAGTATAATAAAATATTGCTAGTATTATCTCAAGTTAATTATTGATTTCCTCGTGTATATATTACATTCCAATGACAAAAGCATCCTAAGCCCGAAATACATTCTCTGTGACAAAACTAGAATCCGTACTTATTAAGAGTAATAGAATGATAACATATATGTAGTAATAATTTTTTTAGGCCCTTTTTGACTTAGGATTTTTGATGCTTCTTAACATTGTATTAATGTTAAGTCTTTGAATACTCGAAGAAGCGACAATATTATATTCGTTTATCACAACCATAGACTTTTCATCTTTAGAATAGCGTTCGATCAGCAGTTAGCCGTTGCAATACTTCGAGTGCCCCTAACAGTACCACCCAGGAACGCAACTCAAGTTAAACTTCAGAACAGCCGAACTAGCCTCGAAGTTGAAATCCACACTCAGGTCCTGGCTATTATGAACGCAGATTCAGATATCGAAACCGTTATTAAAGTGGAGGAACCCGACGAAGGTATATTTTAGTCAATAGTTTTTAGTAATAAGATATAAAAGTAATTCCTCTCTATGTCTACGGACTGTGTTACTTACATAAAACGTTTTCCTCGAACCCAGGGTATTTGAGCCTAGATAATTTACACGTCAATTAATCCATTATATGCCGCTATGAATTAATATTTTTATACATTTACTTTATTGAATGTGCTACAAAATTACATATGAAATCACAAATGTTGTAAATAAAACACACTAAAGGTTTCAAACAGCAAAATGTATATGGCTCAATCTTATATGTAATATGTAAGATACCATCTTAGAAAAAAATGCCAATATTACGAGTAATTGGAAAAAACTTTGTGGTAATCCAGACGACGCAGGTGAAACTTCACCACCACCAGAGGGGCAACAACATTTTACGGAACAACAACGAAAACGCCATGGAAAATCTGGAGTGTTTCGTCCTTTAGAGCTTAACGAGGTATGGAAATTTATTTCTTTCAGTAGAACCCAATTAACTATTTTTGAAAGTAAGCAATTTCTGAATTTATATTTTTATAACTGACCTATCTGACAATCAATTTATAAATATTAAAAAAAAATTATATTAATAAAGACAATATTTCTTTTTTCCCCGACTTGCCGAACCGACCGAACGAGGTTCTACACAATGAAATCATAGTTCAAACAATTTCATATGTCCATAGGAAAATAATTTGGATAGCTGGTGGCTGTACGACGATGGAGGGCTGAACGTACTTTTGTCCTATATAATTGCAATACGTGGATTTCGTGCAATGCCTTTACGAATATTTGCTCTTGCCAGAACATGTCATAGATTAGGAGATGCGGAAGCTGGGTAAATATTACCACCATTGTATGCACATAATATGCTTATTTTATAATTTTTAATTGTTGTTTACATGAATGGACTATTTGCAGTGTGAAAGCATTGCTTCATAAATTTCGCGTGGAATTCTCTTGTCTCAAAATGATCCAAGGTTTATATGACCCACCACAATTGGAAACAAAGGAGATGTTTAACATGATGATAGAACGATTTAGAACCGATGTTGAGAGTGGTCAGTATTATGTCAGCTTACTTAGGAAATTCCTAAGTAAATTACACAGATATTCTTACCAAGTTCATCTTATATGTCCAACCGAAAATTGATATTAATTTATTTTTCCCAACTCGATTAAAACAAACAGTTTTTTAATTGCAATGTATGAGTGGTCAATTGATGAATTTAGTATCTTTTTTTAACCAACTTCAAAAAGGTATGTCATCGCTATATGTATGCCTCACACAGAAGGAATTTGATATTTGAGCGTGAAGATCTATTTAGGTTTCTTGAGTGTATGTTTGTGTACAAATTCCAATGCTTTCGTTTCCCATCTACCACAACTGTTGCTGTTGCATTCGCCTATAAATTGACTTAAACTTATTTTTAAATGTTATTAATGTACGAGGGGTATTTAATAAATGCAATCCATGTGATAATGCAATCTATTTTCCTTGGAAAGAAATACAACAGGCATTAGATATAATAATGATACCAAATGCGATTAATTATTTTATTTTATATAGAAGTCATTTCTTTGGGTGTTGTCAGAACGCTTTCTTAATTGTCCATGACTTGAATGAGACCGTCAATATAATGAAGAAATTTAAGACGATTCCATTTCCGGCACAAACCGGCGGATACCATGATCTTTCATGGGCTGTTATTTCTTCGACAGCCAACGGGCCTAATACCTTAATCATGGGATACTGTTGCGGACCTCTATTGTTAATTTTACCTTTGCATAAACCAAACACGTAGGGTACGTGTTTGGTTCATTTATCTTCTCATCAAAACGGTTTTTTTTAATTAGTCTACAAGGATAGTGTGTGTATTTATTTTATTAATAAATAATATATAATTCTGTAAACACTTAACACAGATTAAATCAACCTTGACTAGTATGTTTATTAACTTTATCTATACTTACTTCTTTTGTTTTATAATTTATAGTCTATATTTAATAGATGTATTGATAACAAATGAAGAACTAGAGCGATTGAATCAGAAGACTGATAGATACCTTCGCCTACGAGAGCTGGTAATTGAAAACTCAACAAACGCCTCGCTAATCGTCATGTCTCTTCCCAGGCCTAGACCGGTATGGCTTTAATATCTAGACAATAAAATGCAATACTTCTTATTACGATATTTTAATTTTTTTTTTAATGATTGGACAATTCACACCAATTGACCTAGTCCCATACTTAGCTGGTGAAGCTTGTGTTATGGGTACTAGGCAACGGATATACATACATATTATACATAAATAGACCTAACACATATAAATACATATTTAAACACCCAAGACCTAAGCACAACACCAAATGCTCATCACATCGATGTTTGTCTCGGCCGAGGATCGAACCCGGGACCCATGGATTCGCAGTCAGGGGTACTAACCACTAGACCAAGGAGCCGTCGAATGTATTTTTTTATTTGATATGTATTGCGTTAAATGATTCTGTAATAAATTCTTACTCGTTAACATGATAGAAATTCCTTTTAATATTAGATTTTGTTTCAGAATACGGTATCAGCTGCTTTATATATGACCTGGCTCGAAGTTCTAAGCAGCGATCTCCCACCGGTTCTATTCGTAAGAGGCAATGACACTTCAGTTCTTGGTGTATAAATGAATAAAACAATGTGTATAAATATATTACAAGTATTTATTTTCACACATATTTCACAAGGGCATTTAATTTAGACCTTAAAATGAATATTTACATATCAGAAACAACAGTGCGAGAAGGGCTCTACGGCTTATGTTTTGACAGTTCCTTTATTTTTGGCACGACATAGCTACTTATCAAGATTAGTTTCGGCACGAAACTTTGCCAAATTTTGCAGAGAAAGTTGTCGCATTTATTTTTAAGAGCCTGGCAGAACTTCGCTTATTCAGAAACAAGGCTAAGTACGGACTACGTCTCACAACTGTCATAAACCGTTTGACAGATGTGATAGTCTGCGCTTAGACTTGTCTCCGTAGGTACCTAGCCTTCGCGGTAGAGTTTAGTAAGACATACCAACACTACATCTATTTCATTTCTACGAAGAGCGGCACTTTGTAGCCCCATACAAAAGTCGCCAAAACATAACCCGAAGAACCCCCACACACACAGATAGATTAACAAATTTCCTTAATATTAAATAGGTATTAAACAAACTCTCAGACATTGTTCTATAATTTGTAATTGTTAACTACTCAGAGTATTCACACAAGATCTAATAAATCTATAACAGACTGAACGAATTCTTATGTTATTGTTATAATTCATTTTCTCACTGGTTACCATTTGAGCTGATGAAGCAACACTAGCAAATGATAAGTGCACAATAAAAAAAAAAGTATAATTAATAATGAGAGACTATTCAATTGTATACAAACGTCAAATAGTCTTATTCCCAATTCCCTAGAATTTATATAATATATCAGGCGTAACCGCTACGAGTCGTATTTCATTAAAAACAGATGACAAAATCTATCCAAAATCAACGACTGGTCTAGTCACTGGTGATATTTTTAATACAGACGGATTTCTAACGGGAATTGGAACTTAAGGCAGAAGATTACCCAATCTCTCATTATTATTTATAAGGACAGTAATTCATAAGAAAATACATTTGCATTTATTAGATATGTAAGTGGCACGATAGGACGGCGAAAATATACTTCTGTTTGCCCAGAGATATGTCGCTATATTCCATTTGAAAAATAACTCTTTCCGTTTTGTATTTGATACTTCTCATATATAAACAAAAATCTACTGAGAAAAAGCTATTTCCTATAGTTTTAAGCAAATTAATAATACTCAGTCTATACACGATTATAATTAGGTGCGACATACACTACATTAAGGTCCATATTCTAATCCGTATCTCAAGTCACTAGTAGTCGAGAGCGCTGTCAAATTTGTCAAATAGAAATGCTTTGACAGAAACTAGATTTAAGTTTGATTGACGCTCTAGAATACGGTCCTGAGTATAAGAGTGAAAAATTTTGAAGATTAAAAAATACCAGCACCTCTTAGGATTTTAAACCAATTGTGTTAAATACGACACTTCGCACAGCCAAACTTTTTTGCTTTTGGTTGCTATAAATATCGATTTTTTATCTGTCCTTATTCACACTAGAGGAACCTGTTTATATACATCATTAAGAATTGTGGTCATTCTGCCAATATTTTTTCAAAGTTAACGAAAATTACAGAAGTAGTCTATATAAAAATACTTTTAAACGCAACAAGATTAAAGAATATGTAAATAATTATTTGTAATTTAAAGGCGGCTGTGTAGTGTATTTGATTAATATATTGTAATAATAAATTAAATTAAAAACTTATACAATCCAAATACGCTATATTGGAGAACATGACCACCAATTCGGTTAGTCATACAAAATATACATATGAATTGGACAAGTTGTGGCTTCGAAGGGATATAAGTATACTTTACGATTCTAATTTATACAATGGCGCTTTGCCATAGCAAAAAACATGTCAGCCTGCGTCCTGAATTATAAACGACTCCATATTCCATTCCATATTGCATTCTGATGGCAATAAAGGATGTTTGATATTAACAAGCGTGACCGGAGTCAATGGCCATATTTAGTCATGGCCGTCGCGAAGCATCTTTGTCTTTGCCACTGCACTGTCAAAAATGTCGAAATGTGTAAACTAGTCTGTAGTTTATGTTTGACTCTAAAATACAGAGCACAGAATGCGAAACGCTTAATTTAAGCATTATAACCACCCGAAACAATCAATTGCTAATAATTACGTGATTAAAGTCAAAATATCGTCTGTCGCATATATCGAATACAATACAAAAAATGTATTAATAACATTATGTGGTCTGTGTATATTCAATAAGACACTTTAGTATTAATATTTATACAAAAATTAAAACTAAATTTGAGTTTAACCAGAATGTACGAATGGCACAATAGCTCCCACATCTATACGTATGTACTACAACTGCAAATTAAACGAACAATATAAAAACTTTAATTACGTAGACATAGACAATAGACTATCGGGGGGATATTATAAAAGTATCGAACAATACTCAAAATAAAGAATCGTCATTTGACATTTAAATTTTCTATATATACCATTGATTTTGCCTCCGTTAGTGGCAAGATTTGCCAGATTCAATACTATAAATTCATTCTGTCAGTCATAAGTATTCACGCTTCAAATTTTCTAATTACCCTCTTTTTAAGACATATCATAATTTCATATATTATTCACACACAATGACACTAGAATGTCCAATAGAAAATCTTTAGTCATATATCATATATGATTTTTCACATTTCGAAATGTGGGTAGTTGGCGGGTATTAAAATACAATATTATTGATTTGACTGTCAAATACATTGAGATTACTTCCACTGTATATAACCAATAATATATATGTTTATTTGTAGTCACATACGTTATAATTATTATGTTTACGATAATCATTTGACCACATATATGTTTCAGTCACGTTATACACCAATACATGGATTATCCAAAATAGGCTTTTATTTACTACCTCATTCGCTTGTTTTTAGAGAAATCCTTAAAACATGGTCACCCCACCTCTTAGTCACAGTAGGACGCAGGTACGCGACAGTCTTCATTCCGACTGGTCGTCATTGTCATCGTCAAATCCAGACAAGTCCGCTGACTCTAGATATCCTTGCATTACCTGAAAGTAAATTCATTATAGCAGCGTTCTGTCTTCACGAAGCTCACATAGCGTATAAAATAAAGATTACTTTTAATTAAAATTCTTTTATTTGTGTAAAATACCATGTTATATAATTGCATAAACAATTAGTCTTAACGTCTACACATTTGGAATATCCGGTTTACAATTCATTAATTCCATATAAAAAGAATGGTAACCACCTTACAAACTAAAATCGAGTTATGGTAATTTTAAAGTTGGTTAGCTGAGAGCTAATTGGAAATTAACATTATGAACTACTTACAGCGTACTCAATTAGCGCTAGATGGCAGAAGACGTATTGATCGGGCATTTGTATAGAATGTGCTCGTTGCGCACGTATACGCTCCACGGTACCACGTACGTCCGCTACGCCCTCCGCAGACAGTCGGGACGTACATACATCAAGAGTTAGGAATGTTCCTGGAAAAATATGGAAATACCATTATTTTGCACTATCAGATATCAGAAAAACAACTGAAGCCAAAGCCAAAGGAATTTTACAAAGTAGTGAAAGATCAATCTGAATTTTTAAATTACATACCTGTTCGTCCAATACCCGCTGAACAATGCACGACTATGGGAGGCCCCCTACTATGCCCCGCCCAGGCATCTCCTAACCTGAAAATAAAAATTATTATGAGATAACGATACTTGAAATGTTGGCAATTTTTATATATTCGTTCAAGTATGAATTCCTTGTACCAACTAACCATAGTAGTAAGGATAGGGAACTAGCACATAGATGATCCTATATATATTTTAAGATTTTAATAATATTCTTCGCCACTCACTCAACTTCCGGCTCGAAGGACCAATTTTACTTACTCTGCTCTAGCTCGGTGCTGTGCTCTTCGTACGAGGTTTAAGAACCTTAATACTGGTTGAGCTCGACCGCCGCCTGGTACGCCGTAATCAGGCCATCGCGTGTATTGACCGTGCCATATACTCCTCGATTCTTCCGTCTATAAATGTTACAATTTAGTGATTTAGTATAAAGTCTATATATAATTATTGCTAGCAGTTCTGTGGATTTTTCGAACGGGATGTGAATGCAATGTTTCCAAGTTTAAAAAATACTATGAGCAAACGATACTATTTCAAATTCATAAAAAAAATATCGATATCATTTTTAATAATTACGTATCGTTGGCGTGTTCTTATAGAGTGAGGGTTACTTCTCAAACCATTGCGACAAAGTTTGCATTTGTGAGCAGATTTTTAGGAGAAATCTTAGAATTACTTAAATCTACCTTAATAAGACCATTGATTAATTATATTAGATATCTCTTCAATCCGGTTTAAGGCAAATAAGAAGTACCTATATAATACATATTTTGTTTTAAAACGAATTATTTCGTATTTATTATAGTATTATTTAGTACAACATTACAAACAAACCATTCCTATACGGTTTTTTAGACGTAATGTATTTATTTTCTATTCGAAAGGTTGCATTTTGCTTAAAATTTATATATTTTAATTTTTTTTTTAATAAGTACTAATAATATTAGAAGGTAATTCGAGGAAACAAAAATTGTGTTGTTCTTTCGCCGTATAGATTTTCATCTCTCGGTGAGCACACACATATTTTTGGTTAGAGAAATGTTGTTAAAAAAATAAATTTAAATATACCAATTTAGAATTTAGTAAAAATATAAAACTCACCCGTAAATCAGTAAGTAACAAATGCGATATAGTATAATCGTCCTCCTGTTCTATATCCTCGGTTGTAACCGCAAAACCGCCGTGTACTGCGCGAGTGCCAAGCGTGGCCGGCCAGTACTGACCGCATTTTACTCGCCCACGCTCCACAGCACGAGTGGTCATTACGATCACAAGACTGCCCTGTTCCCAGACCATACGCCAGAAGTCACCGTATGTTTTTGGAAGGGGACCTATAGAATAAAGGGGTTAAAATTAAACTCCTATATAAACCTTTACTGAGCCATATTTTGTTGACTTTAGTCGAAGGACAATTAAGAGTTCAACGTGGTTTATTAGCGAAATCAGTTTTCTGTGTTTCTACACCGCTACTAGTTTACACAATCGAATCCAGAAGTGGATTTACCGTATTGAAATACTGTAATCCAACCAGACTGAGCCGATAAATATACAAAATTGTTATGAATACAGTGTTCCAAAATCGAATATCTAAAAATAGACATTTATATTGACAGGTTACTCCGTTGTTACGTAAATAATAAAGCATTTGAATTTATAATCGCCTTGTTCAACGCCCACTATTAAACCTGCGTCCCACGTTATTTTTCGGTTCTAATTTTAAACTTTCCGCGAAATAGGGGTCGTGTATTATGTGGCAGCGTGCCAAGCCAACAATAAACAATGGCTTACGCGGAAATTTACAAACTTTTCACCGTTTCCCTGAATTCGTCAAAGGTATGGCACTCGTGACGTCAACGGGTAAACTATTTCGAGTTCCTAAAATAGACTCAAAGCTTCCTACTACTTAGCAAGCTTTCAAAAGATAGTCATGTAATATCAACATTTTCGGATAAAAGACTCACTGTCAAAGTGCATATAATGCAATAACTTCGTCATTTACTTGGTTTGGAAAAGCAACAAAATTAAATAATTAAAATAAACAGGATGTACAATGTACATAGCTAGATTTTCTTTAATAATATAGCAATCTTACGGATTAGTTAGACCCTTTGGGCAATTACCCGAAATAACAGGATTGATGATGTACATCATGAAACATTTATAAATACAGTAGAAAGTATAAAAAAAACATTCACTAACAAAGAGACAATTTTACCCACCCAATAAAAGAACATTCTATGAAAACCAGATTATCCATAGATAACAACAATGTACGTAATAGTTTTATACATAACACAAGGCGTGATAATTCCATATATTTAAAATGTTCTATGACAAGTTGAAATCAGTATGTCCATACTTAGTTTTTCCTAATAATATAGTATACATACGAGGTAGTTACACCAATATTCATACGTAAAATAAACACGCAAACCATACTTATATAGAAAGTCATCGCAACTCGTATCAAATTAAGAAATAATTAAATCGTAAAAACTCACCTTGCGTACAAATAAAGGCATTTTTCTGTTTGTATCCATCCACGTAGTTAGCGTTGATGTAATCTGTAGTAGCGTCGTCTGGGTCTGTCTGAGATAAAACCACCCGCGAATGATCATAACACAATACATCTGTGTAGCGGTTCTTGACTAGATTACTTGGCAATCTGGAAGAAATATGAAGGTGGGAGTTAGAAGATTTGGTCCCCAACAATTTTCAATTAGTTTTGGAGATGTTCGAATTTATTTCTTATATGTGTGCTTGAACATTCTTCGCAGGTCATAATTTATATCTACGCAACTAGACTTCTATTGGAAATTTGAACGAAACTAGATTTAATCAATCTCGTAATGCCGGGTACTTAAAGGGTTTCATTATTCTCGAGACTATTTAATGTTTTATCAATAGGGACAGAATTAGAATTGCAAATATTTGGACTAAAATGGAAATTTCAGGTTATCAATAACTGGACAGACTAAAAAGATCTTTATTTTGCCATTTTAACTAGTAAATAAAAATACCATGCATACTAAAAATATTACTTTGCGTGATGAAAGGTCCCATGCGGCGGCCTGGCCCGTATTTCTTCATACTCGGCGACTAGACCGCGCCTTCCGAGCTGCCGTACGCGTGCGAGCAACGCTGCGGGTGTTTCCCCCGCCCCACCGCCCCCGCACTCCTCGTCCGATAGACCGGGGGAAGCTTCGCCGGATGACCATGTCCCACGGGCTGCAAACAAATATAGAGATTCAATAATATGAAAATAAAAAATGGTGAGTACATGCTAGCAAACTTCGGATTTATTGAAAAGTTATTAAAATAAAATTGTTTAGTTACCTACTACCTACTATGTATAAAAAGACATAATTTAATATATGCCGCTAATTGCGACAGATACCCATGTAAACAAAGAACTATAAAAACAATAAAAGTACATTTCAAAATACAAATAAATAAAACTACTTGAATACAAACAATTACACAACACACTTTTACCACAAGTGTTACATTTGCTGTAATAAACGCCGTTATGTTTATAATGTAATAAATTCTTTAAATCTATAAAGTATTATTGTACAATTGTAGAAATCTCATCTATAACAGAATAACAAACAATACTTTATTACTTAATTTTAAACTAAAATACGTACTTGAATAATAGGATATTTCTAAAAGCAATATAAATCCGATAATACACATTGTTCGCTCTCGTAAGTTATTCAATATTGTTTCTGTGTTCGACTCACGTTACACACAATGTGTTTACGTAATCACTACTTCATGAAATAAACCAAGCATTAAAATTTTGCGATTAAATTTTAATCTAATCTATATCTACGTACTGATTATTGGTTATTTTAACAAAATTTTAAAAAATTATTAATTTTATAAAAATAATGGTCAAATAAGTGTTACTGGACTGTTTCAGCTTGTATATATAAAATTTATATATATTCAGAAGTAAATAAAAAAACATCCACTAACACATAATTTTTTCTACCCCTAAATGTAAAAAAAGAACATTTGTATGAAAACCAGATCATTCATAGATAAAAACAATGTGCGTAATAAACCATCACAAGACTAGATAAATATTCCATTGAAATGTTACAATTTGAGGGCCAAACTGAACATTTGTTTGAGGACGCAATTTTATTTATGGGACATGTAGTGGGGGTCAATACAAGCTTAAACCCAAGTTTGTGGTGTTGGCACCCTTGTCCCCCCGCCGCCATCTTGGAAAAAGGGGTGGAACACGTTTTTGGCTATATATGAAATTTTCATTGTATAAAATTGTTGGAATTGAACAAAATTTTTCGAAAATTTGTTTAAAATAAAGGACAGATTATAAAAGTAAAGTAAAAATGTTGTTTTGACCGGCTTGTCATGAGCATTGACGAACCCGGTCAACTTTGGAGCGCTGTAACATTTAAAAAAAATTTATTAAAAAATTAACTTTTTTTAAATTAATATATTTTTATTTTTTTTAATTTAAAAAATATAGAGGAAAATCTTCAGAAAGAGATCCTCTACAAAATTGTTCTGACATAATTTTTTGATAAAATAAAAAAAGTTATTAAGCAAAAATGGATTTTTTTTCACTTATAACTTTTGAATTTTGGCTTTATGATAAAAAGTCACACAGACATAATTGTAGGCAAAGCGATTTGCTACAAAATATGTCCTCGCAAATTTTTTGTACGATGGATAGTTTAGGAGATATAGCCAAAAACGTGTTTTCACCCCTTTTCCCAAGATGGCGGCCGGGAGACAAGGGTTCCAACCCCACAAACTTGGGTTTAAGCTTGTATTGACCCCCCCTACATGTCCCATAAATAAAATTGCGTGCTCTAACAAATGTTCAGCAAATGTAACATTTCAATGGACTGATAGGTATATTTAAAATGTTCTATGACAACTCAGACGTATGATACGAGATTCTTTGAGTGTCCTACATTCCAAATTGCACGCTTTTATCTCTCGCTTTATTTTTATTTATTTTTTTCACATTTATTGGACCACACACAGAACAACTGAACTGATACAATTTGAGCACAATGTTCGCCTTTTGATGAGAAAAACACAGAAGAATGGCGAAATATATATTCATAATAAACTAGACCATTTAAAACATTGATTGACAATAATTTACTTCGAACAGCGTGAAATACCGATAACATTCTTCCCTGAAGGTCTTATAAAATAAGGCCTTCATGTAGTTTCAAAAGCATATCGTAAAAAAATTTGTTGTAATTACAACATAAAAAAAAACTTCTAGCGTTCATTCTTCTGTAGTTATCGCCTTTAATCAATTTTATAGTTTCATTTATCTACATACTATTGTTTCTCTTACTGTCCAATGTCACAATATATTAACTCATTTACCAATATTATTGAGCTTCGCGTACCGCGACATACAATTACACATTTCGTATTAGTACGTACCAGCTGATTTTGAATCAAAAGTCATAACTATAAATTCGACGACCTAAATATTTGTAAACAAATTAAATAATACGGTGACTGACAGTTTATGTCAAAATTTATTTTTTAGATCGCTACAAAATAGTTTTTAATGCTATTTTCCGCGAAAAAATATAGATAATAATGTTAGTAGGTCTTGTGTAAAAACGTTAAGGATACGAATGCAGGGCGATAAGTGACCTCAGAATATTCAACATCTGGGTAGAAATATATTGAAAATCTTTTTTGATAAAGAGCTTTGTGTAGCTGATAAATTAATGTTGTAGTAGGATTCACTGGTTTGTCCCGAATGCTTTCTATGATTTTTTTTTAGTTTGTTACAATTTGGTTTTAAATTTAGTGTTGCGAATGATTTATTCTTGGATCTTGTCAAAACGTAATATTTTGTCGTACATCCGAAATATTACTAACGCAGTAGTGTAAAGTCCTACGAAAAATAAAGAGTTATTAAGAGTTTCTGCATAGAATTTTTAGGCTTTAAAAGCTTTTTTGATTTACAAGTTAATAATCATTAATTTAGCAAAAAACCATAATAAAAAAGATAGATTTTTGTACATCAATCGCGTGACACAAAATGGTAATTGACTTAAACTTAAAATGCTGCGTTTTTTAGCAACTAGAAATAGTTTTAAGTCTTTATCGTAAGAATTCAGGGTGGCATCATGTATTAGCATCAAAATACACACGCCCGCACAGCACAGGCACTTTCGCGACATTAGTTTCACGTCGCATCTCCATCATAAAATTAGTTGCATGAAACTAATTTCACCAAAAAATCGCGCAGGTCACGAAACTCATTTGCATTCATGAAATTAATGCATGCATTACAAAAATATTAAATTACACCTGAAACTGTTGATAAAAATAATGTCACGAAATTAATTTCATGCCACTAATTTCGTAATATAATTCCGGCTTAAGTCTAGCAGTTTCCTTTCGTCGAAGACTGATTTTGATCGAAATATAATACAGACGTATTTGGGAATTTAAAAATGATGAACACGTTACAAAACTTTGTTCACGTTTCTGTATGTGGCGCAACGCAATCATGTCTGATTGAAATTATGACAGTTAAATTGTATCCCAGAACAGAATTTAAAAAAAAAACAATTTGTATACGTTCCATAGTCACAAACACCAACTGAAATGGTGGTCTTGTCAAATAGATAGATAGATATTATATACCCTAACTAAACTATATTTGATAAGTTTTCTTTAAATAATACGTATAAATCAATCACTTACTTATTAAATCTAAATCATCTTCATCTCCGGAATTAATATGATTTCCTTTGATGTCGCCATTGTAGCCGTGTGTGTGTCTGTAAACACATTTAAAATATTACACCATATGTGATTCAAAATATAATATACTTTTTTTATATTAATTATACAGGCCATTCATGTTGGCATATTACGCACTAATAATTTTGTTTAGGCATGTAGGTACTAATCTTAAGATTCAGAAACGAGACTTAGCGCTAAGTCTAACTTCCGTACGTCAAAAACGTGTTGGACTTTGTCATTAGGGAGTCTCGTTTTAAAATCTCACCTTAATCTTAGATCTAAATCTAGTTTCAGGAGCTGTCAAACCATTGTTCTGTATGTTCTGTGTAGACATATTTGACAGCTCAAGACGAAATTGTAGCTTGAGATACGAATATGCACCTAAGTCTTCTGTGCCCGAAACATATCGTTTTGTTAAGACCAAGACTGCTTTTTTTCCATATAGATCGAAGCAAACGGGTAGAAGGCTGATGTTAAGTGATACAGCCGCCCAAGGACACTCTCAATTCCAGAGAACTCGGGAGTGCGTTGCCGGCCTTTTAGGAATTTTAGGATAATGAAAATATAATGATTCCTTAACGAGCAATAGAATAAATCATACCGAACTTACGTCAATGATGAAAATTACACATTCTGCTTTTAGAAGTAAATTGTTAGGTTACCCTAACAATTAACCCATAGATATCAACCAAATATTCACAATTTAGAACAGCTACTTTTTTTTAATATTAGGCAAACGGGCAGGAGGCTTACCTAATGGACAGCTGGTTCCACACAGTGGTGGTGTGTGGCAAAATCTGTCTTAAGAAACGCTCAGTTGTGGAACGACGGACGTCGAGGTGATACGGGTGGAATTTCGTATTCTGCCTCAACGTCCGACACACTCGGTAGTATTTGCGGTAGAAGATGGAAATTACATGCAGGAAAATATGTATTATAAGGCCCATCTAGTACTACATTGGCTGGGGCACTATGCCAGTAGGCTCGCCCGGATACCGCTGAATAGACAGAGCGGAGAAGGATCTGCTGCAGCTGAATGCCAGCAACTGACCGGTACAGGAAGATGTAGGTTTCGCGAGTGATACAATACCTTAATGGCGTAGGATCACACGTGTAGGGAAGGTCGCCGCTGATATGCATTATGTCGGCTTCTGTGTGCCGCGACACACGATCACTCGTCATGTCCCGACCCGCCTCCTCTATCATACCTGCAAATAGGTATTACTTAGGTACCAATCTTGATGTTTAGTATGGTGTGGAGCTGAATTTTTGCGCAAGCAATTTGGACCCCTGCAACCTTTCACCCTACTTTCACACAATACAAGCGCAACTTTATAAGTGAATACATGTTGTGGGTTCAATTTCCGCACTTAGACGCTCATTTGGTCCGTTGTGTGGTTCTGTCTAACTAAGCCATCCTAGCTCCTGAAGCTCAGAAGTTACCTGGGCACTTTGCAGACTTTACTCTGCGTATAATATGAGTATAGATTTCTTAATTCGTCTTGGCCTCTGGTCGGTTGAGACCGAGTCTATCTTACAGACTGGACGGTTACAGCCCTGCAATTCTGTAACTCACACAGCGGTTTTCGCATCGGCGGTCGCTCTCAAATCAGTCGAGAAGCAGTCATGTTATGATTTGGCATTCTGAAAAGGTGGGAGCTTGTAGTTTATTGTTTATCAGAATGCCAAATCATTAGTGCTGTGTGAGTTCGAAAAGTTAGTTACAGAATCGCAGGGAAGTTCAAAGACAAACTTATGACGGACCAATGATAATTGCGACTGTGGGCCTTTTGGAATGCTTAGAGCTATTATAGATAGAGACTTGAGGAAGTTAAAGCATTTTTATTTTTGGCCTGTACTAACATAGACTAGAGTTTCTATGAAGAATTCCATACGCTTCTATTCTTATAAACTGTATTCCTTAAATGGTCATTAAAACTTTTGTGTTTTGTCATTTTAACATCCTATATTGAATAAATTTACATTTAACTCAAAGGGCATGACGCAAAAGTAGTTTATGCTCACAATTCCTTATGAGCTTCCCTCGAATAATTTTTTCGCCAGGAATCGAAATCAAGTCATTTATGTTGCACACATTGTGTTGTTACAGAGGCAATAATACAAAAGCGATTTTGATTAAACGATATCGTGTAATTATTACCATTTTGCGGTTTGACAGGCGGAATGTGATTACTGATCACATACTCGTCGATAACACCGTCCAATTTTGAGTTTTGAAGATTATTCGTATAACAATTTCTGCAATGCTCTAACCTGCAAATAATTATACAAATGAATTTATCTAATAACATGATTATAGATTTATTAAAAAATGTTATTAAATGTCTGACATTCTCTATACAATAATATTAATACTATATAAACAATATTTTTTAATCTTATACATTTTGAGTGTATAAAGATGGGCTTGTAATATACGCCATCCAATGGCCCTACAACCTATAATCACCTTAGACACTGCATATTTTATAATTATTATTATTCTTGGCAAGTAGGAAATTATTTAAATTACCCACCCGTCATTATTGGGTCTAAGACATACGAGTTTCAAGCAAAAAAATATTGTTGCGTCACAGATATACCTGTATTTTCTTTCTATTGGTCTGTATTTAGTTTGATAGTGCAGTATATATAAATTAATTGATGACTTATTTATATTTGTTACCAAATGGACGATTTCATCGTTCGCAAGCAGTAATTTTGTAATATTAAATAAATATATATTTTTATTATTCATCAAATTCGTCCGTTCCATTATTCATAAAAAACTGCATTGCATTGCACCCTTGTCGCTATACTGGTAATTCGTCTCTGTCTTTCAAATTGTGTTTACGCTGTGATGAGTTAAGTTCAATTAAGCTGATTTAGTTTCCAAAATATGACAACCGAAGTCCATAAAAACAAAAACCTATCAATTTAGTTCAAAACTGACTTTGTACGAGTATTTTTGTTACATAATTTTTTGTCCTAACTTCGATAAATTTAAAATTTTTTAAATAAACTGAGTGTCACAAATAGCTAAATCCAAGTTTAAACTGTTTAAGAGGATAAAACGGGTAGGTATTAGCGTAAATCGTATTTTTGCTATAAGACCGGGTTGCGATAAAAAACCACGCACTTTTCTAAGGTTTCCTTGAGCATCAAAACTTTTCCGTTACGGTTGAACTAACTTATAATATAATACATTATAAATAAACCCTTTATTTCTACTCACACAAATATAGAATACGCCAAGAAACCTAATGCGTTATATATATTTTCTAGTCAGTAATAACTAAATTAGTACAAATATTTTGGCTTCGACGAATACATGAATTCTAAAATTTTAATACCGTTCAAATACTAGGTCAAGATTTCTTATCTGATATGTTATCAACCTATTGTATTTATTATTGCAAAACTGAGATCAATTTATATAGATACTAGCCGTTTCGCGCCCGCTTTGCTGGACGAATTAAAATAAATTTTATGTTTCATTATTTTATTTTTTTTTCATATTTTTATTATTCTTCTTTTTAACTTCCCGCTAAGAAAATTGAAATATTTAGAAAATCGAGTTTTTAACAGATGTTGACGTTTAGAGGTTCTAGGAAGCCTCCCCGAATGTTTCCGCGGTGAAGTCCGTATGGATAAATTTTCATAAAAGTAAAACAGCAATAAAAAAATGAAGGAACGTTGGAATTTAATAAATAAATAGCCATAAACCATCTAGGAAAAATTTCGCATGGTGGTAGTTTCATGTCGATACGATCAGTGGTTTAGGCGTGAAGGAGCCTCAAACGAAGACCATTTTTCTTTTATATATATAGATTTCGCTTTTCAGTGGACTAAATGCAACAAAAAATATTGTTTTTTTGTTTTTTCAATTCACTTTATTAGTCTTGATTTGAGTTATTAGTCTTAGCTGCGCTTTTTCTTTATCTATATATATTCGTTTTGCTTACAGATTTCTTGGAATGTCAGTCTTTATTTTCAAAATGCGATTCGTATCAATAACGACTGGTATTTTCCATACAGAATCCGTGCGTAACAAAGCATACACCTAAAGTCCTGTACGGGACGGGCACATTCCTTTGTCTTCGCTGATAAAAATTTTCTATTTAAGCTTAGCACATTTCTTCCGATTACTAATTTTACGCTGAAAATTGAACTCGATAGCGATTCTATAGAGACGATCCACGGCGCGTTTCGATTAATTGCAATTGGTCAACAGCATGTCTAGTACAATTGTCGAAAGGTGAGGCGATTCATCGTTCCTTTTTAACCAATCACAAACAAACGAAACGCGCTTCCGGTGTCTTTTGTTTTACATTCTCATCCAAGGGCCAATGAGACCTTCAAGATCAATTAACAAATAAAGTTCTCCACTAACCCAGCCAAAGCACACGTAGTAATTAAGTGTAACAGTATAATACGGAATATTCACGATTAATTCGAGTACACTTGGGCGCAATAGAATCCCCGTTTAACAATGAGAATTACGTCTAGAAAACTGACGAAAGCATTTATTTTTGCATGAAATTTTACTGAAACTGTAATTGTTTTGTAACCTCATTAGATTTGCCTTGTTTGAAGATAATTATACGATTGATTTATATATATTACACGCCCGAGTCTTTCAAGTGTGTATAAAATGTTAATGTCAATATTACAAAGCCGACTGAGTCCGACGATGGATAACCAGCCAGTAGAACAAGCGGGGTTCTGTTCCGGATATTCTACAACGGACCATATACATGTACTGCAACAATTAATGGAGAAATACACAGAGTTTAAAAAGCCACTTTACAGCGCTTTTATCGATTATGCCAAAGCGTTTGAATGTATCACGAGGCTATTTGGGAAGCCCTTAATAAATGCCACATAAACAAGAACTATGTAAGAGTACTGAAAAACATCTACGAGGGTAGCGTAAGGCAAGTCTAATTTAACATGAGATTCGGATATACCGATTGGTAGAGGCGTGAGACAAGGAGACCCCTCTCACCCAAGTTGTTAATAATGATACTACAACAAATTTTCTAAAACCTCAAAGTCGGAAGAGATAAGAGTTAACCAAGATCCGATCAGGTTAACCTTATTCGCTGAAACCAGTAAGGAATTAGATAAGATGATAATTATTACCTTCAACGAAGAAAGTAAAAAGTAGGTCCTAAAATGTACGAGAAAAAAAATAAAATACTGACAAACAGCGCGGTTGTTACAAAACACTGCAGTATACCTTGACAAAAAGCCTCTTGGAATATGTAAAATAACTATATACCTAGATAAACCATTATCATTCGATGATAAAAATTAAGAACTTAAGGTAAAGCGGCGAATTAACATGAGCTGGAAAAAGTTTTGATGCCTGAAGGAAATCTTAAAAGGGCAATTTCCCCTTCACCTAAACAAAAATTGTCTTGGATACTTGTATCTTAGCTACTCATAAATACGGCTGCCAAACGTGGACATACAACACAAAATCAAAACCAATCTAGTAGCATGCCAGAAAGAAATGGAAAGAAGCGTACTAAAAACAGAATAAGAATACATAAAATAAAGAGCGAAAAAGTAAGACGAAAACCTACAACCTAAAACAGAAGTGCCAATGGGCAGGGCATATAACAAGATGCACAGATAAAAGGTGGACTTTAAAGACAACTATATGGAAAGGACCAAGGGGAAGAAGGAGAAGCGGTGCCCCAAAAAAAGGTGGATAAAAGAAATAGAAGCAGATGGAGGAAGGAAGCCATGGACAGAGATCCTTCCGGCATTGAGAGTCCATGGGCGGTGGTATCACTTAACACCAGATGAGCCCCCTGCCCGTATGCCCACTGTTCTATAAAAATAAATAATAAATAGAGAGGGTTGGAAAAAGCTGGAGGAGGCCTTTACCATTGAAGGAGTTCCGATCGACGGTACTAAAGGTAGCTAGGATGTAGGATATAATATAGGATAACAAGAAAAAAAGAAATGTTAAAAATGTATATAACAAATCTAAGCTGTATATTCTATTTTTGTAATGATTGGAAATCAACGGGCATTTATTACTATTATTAAGGTAAGTGGAAACCCCTATAAACTCTTTCTATCCCAATTTACATTTTCTGATACGTTGAACCAGCATGTCTTAAAGAAAAAAAAACTTGCCTATTAAGAAAAAAAAAAAGAAAAATTACGATCGCTTGACAAACAAAAATCAAATGAAATGATAGTGTCAGTGCCAATGTATTTTAAATGCCATTAAAATCTTGAGTAAATATATTTTTCTACTTTTTCTTTTAACTTTTAAGTCATGTTGTATTACGTTATTGAGCTTTAATTCAATAATCTGTCCCGTTATCGAACGAAGGGCGAATTGGTACCAAATAAGAGATTACTAGTAAAATTGGTCACGGTAGCTAAATCAAATTATTTTCCTTAAAAGTATCATATATGATGATTACCAACCAAGCTGCGTGATCGGGCTCGAGCTGTCCACCAAGCTGTTTGGGCAAGCTGGCCCTTGGCACGTGTGCACCCAACTGAGGCGCACTCACTGTATGCACGCGCTCACGTAGCTTCTCACGTACGAATAGCCGTAGTATGCGAAACGGCGCTTTGAACCACAGTGGAGCTGTTACGATCAACACTTTCTTTAACTTAGCCGGATATCCGCCCTGGAACAATTAAAATTATTACATTTTCGTGACCTAACATTGCTTTTGATATCTTGTTCATGTCAGAACTTTAGGGCAATGAACATATTGATATGACTATCACGTAACATATTTCTTGTGAATACATGATGAAAGAGGAATTAAGACTGTGTGGAAGGACAAAATGTGGCTTTTTGTACATTCGCCGCTGCTTCATTTGCGGAATAACAAACCTGAAATCTGTTCATGTGAGTTTCGGGGTGGTAGACGATAACGAAAACGTTCTCTTCGTCAACTCTTCGAAATGTAATTTAAATGAATTCCTACATTTAATTACACTTCTTTCTTATTTTAATTGGTGCCTATTCTGTACCTATGTTAAGGAAGTATATTATACTTTTACAAATGATCATGAAACTATATTAATTTACATCCAGTTCTGAACCATAAGTTGTTGAAATGTAAGTAATATGAATATTTATATAAATGAAACCAGCTCGACGGCGGCTCGGTCACTGATTCAAGGAAGTCAATAGAAACTAGACAGCGATTTTCTATTAAACCTACTTAATGGCGCGCTATTTTTAGGTCAGAAAAAAGATTGAATGGGCACAAAAATGGCAATAGCTTTAACTCGCAAGCGTGCCAAGCTATTGTCTTTAAAATAGGGCAATTAGTAATGCCAGTCTCTTGTCTAGCCTAGTATACAGAGTGCACAATATCTACATCTACTAGCTGTAACAAAAATATTTATATTTTACATGAATTTATGTACAAAACAAAAAGTAAATATATAGTAGTCGTATTTTAAATAGGCATATTTATTGCTAATATATATGTATGTATTGACTAGACATTAATATTTCTTTAAAACTGATAAATCGGTATATGAATCTATTGAATATAAATTGAAGTCTTCTATTGGAAACTTTTATATACATATTTTGAAAAGTAAAATAAATGAAAACTATCGAATCAAGTCGCTTATTTCTACTTCCTAAAAATAATATGAACACTCCCTGCTTTCTTTTTTTAGGATAACACGTCCATATCACGTTGATTGATAAGTCAATTGAGGTAAACCTCAATTACCTAATTTTAATCAGAATATTAAATAAGATTTTCTTATGCAATTACTCTTAAGATATGCGTTTAAATTGTTATTAAATATATGTTCGAAATTTAATAAAGACTATTGCTTGATTTTTTTGGTGACACTTATCGAGTTTCATCAAAAAACCAATCCCAAATATAAGCGTAGACATTAAAGAGATGAAAAGGAACTCGGTCCATTCAAGTCGTTGAAGAACGAATTAAGTAATGAAAGTGAACTTGTTTGGGATACTTGAAATAGTCTTCAATGAAATGAGTCTTTTATTGACAACTCAATTGCTGTGACCTATAATTGAAGAAATTTGTATCTTATTTATACCTTAATTTGGGTAAATGTAATTTCCAATCTAGTTTAGCAGGACATTTTTACCTTTAATTTATACACAATATAAGGCAATAAATGTTACGAATGACAATTTACCAACTCGGTACTGTAATGTCAGTAAAATTCCGATAAAACAAAATCCATTCGTTTTCAGTATCTTCATAAAAGAGTTTTTACCTCATTTATCGGGTTCCAAATTCAAATGTTCGTTTCTTTTCGCCTCTGATCTTTTGGCATATATACAGTTTTATATGTATACGAGTTCTACGCAAGGTCAATAAATGAAATGTTCCCGGAGCACTTTAGGGTGAGCCCAGACAGGCTCACAAGAAAGCTAGGGGTGCGAGGTCATTGCCCTTTCAAGCTCAAAATATTCATATCAGGTGTAGTTTAAACTCAGAAGAAGTCTACGTACGATTTCAGAAACGCAAATAACCCCTTGCTAAGCCTCCATTTATTAAGCAGTACTTCATTTCCGAATGAATTATTATTCCTTATAATATATATATAATAGTAATTAACAGACGCACTTCAACATTGTTTAAAAAGGTAGCATAGAATTTTGTTGTTTTAACATTACATGCGTCGTTACAACGATATTTCAGAGTGTAAAGCGCGCGTGAAAAGCAAAAAAATTTTTTCTATTCACTATTTTTTATGTTGTATAAAATGTTATTAGATTCTATTAGACTATTAAATCCTATAATCGTCTTCTATCTAACCTGTATCCAATTTAATATAGCTTAATACATCTCAGTCCAGACGTCGCCTGGTATTTAAAACTTTGTCTAATTCGTCTACGGGTTCAAATGGATTTGTAGTACGGTTAGACAAAATAGATTCAGGATAATTCTCAGTAACAAATTAGGTACAGCGTTGAAAATTAGTCGAAATAAAATAATAGCAAGTCAATATGGTTGCAATAGATTAGTTGTGGATTCCTAGCATTCAATGTCCTGCAGTCTATGAATTGCAGCAGCTTTCGCCAACATCTTCTTCATTCTTAAGTCAGAGCTCGCAAGGCAAGAGTAATGTTATTTATTTTTTTGTTTGAACAAGGAATAACCGGAAGTGCCTATCGCAGACAACGCACTTCGCAGCACCTAATTATTTACGTGTAGAATTAAAATAAACTCGCTCCTTGAAATTTCCCGTCGTATTTCAAAGAGACGAGCATAGTGATTAAGCTCATAGCATACATTTGACTAAGAATAAAGAGGCGTTCAAGTAAGGGAAATGTCTAATAAGAAGGTCGACATGAGTGACAACAATGTTAAAGTTATTCTGCGAATTAGGGCGAGTGTGGAGTTGAGAGGCCGAGATAAATATGAATGCTGAGTACTCGACTCAGCGCCTCGCTAACAATCAAATTACTAGATCCGAGCTTATTGTTTTCACGAGAGTTGAGAACACGTGCAATTTCTTGATATAACTTTGCTTTTTCCGTTCATGACGTCAGGTTTTCATCGAATCTATCAACTCTCTTACAACGTAACTTACTGAGTGAATAATTAGATGTTCTAGAGAATCTAGACAACAAACATATTGAGTATCCATATCTATATTCTTAAATAGGTTTTTTAAATAGACTTCCGTTTGAAAATGAGTCATAACAAATCAGACTATCAAATAATTTCCTTCAAGACTTTGTTCAAGTTTAATAAGCAGTCTTATAAGGTGCATGTTATTGAAGTCTGACTCAAAGGACATCGTTTTCACGTAGTAAATGGAACGTATTCACCGACTAAATGAGACGCGGTAACTCTAAATACAGCGCTGAATGTCTCCAATTAATGTTATATGAGACTGAAATACTAGGCTGAAAATAATCGTTATATATTTCAAGCATAAAGATAATATGAACACAGCTGCTTTATTTTTTTAGAATAACACGTCTATATTACGTTGTTTGATAAATCGATTGACTTAAACCTCAATAACCTAATTGTAATCAGAATATTTAATAAGATTTTCTTATGCAATTACTCCGAAGATATGCCTTTAAATTGTTATTTAATATGTTCGAAATTTAATAAAGACAATTGCAAGAAAATTTTGGTTTTTAACATAAAAAAATAAAAACTGAAAAGATTTGTCTATAAAATAAAAATAATAATTTAGGGGTGGGATCACCCTTATCATTTAGGGGGATGAAAAAAAAGATGTTGTCCGATTCTCAGACTTACTGAATATGCATAAAAAATTTCATTCGAATCGGTCGCGCCGTTTCGGAGGAATATGGGAACGAACATTGTGACACGAGAATTTTATATATATAGAGATTATGTACGTACGTATATACCCTCGTTCATCAAGGTTGTACCCATACATAATTAATAATTAATCCAATCCCTATCACAAAATAAGGGACACATGTTCAATGTTAGACACGTGTCCTCATTTAAAATTAATTAAGGACGTTTTTTAACCTTTGACTGGGTTTTTTTTTGTTTGCTCCTAAACATGGAATGGATATATATTTCAATATATGTCACGTGTCTTTGGGTACCACGGGACATTGGTTAGACTCAATAGTAATCAAACTGTAGTACGAATTTCGGATAGGTAACTATATATTAGAACTAAATATGTACTAATTAAACAATCAATACAATACTTATTAAATTATTTTATACACAATAGTAGGGTCTAATCTATACTAGCTGCAAGTATATTTAATGAGAATGGTTAGCGAGGGACAATCCTACAAAGGGATAACGGGTCAAAGGCAGCATAACCAATGAGGTGCAGTAAACACAACAATATGCCATTACCTACGGATTTTAGACGATAAAAATTATTAAAGAAGAAATCATTCATTTATTCATTTTAAGTTAAGAAATGGTTTTTAGTTATCTTAAATGACATACTTACTAAGTACATAATTTATATTGAAATTATACTCCGTGAGACAACACATGATGTTCAAACATGGATAAGTTCTATTGGAAAAATTTGAATTTCAAATTCAATGACGTCACAGAGACATCTATTAAATTCTCTGGGGATATTCCAATATCGACATTGCCTTGAACAAGCAGAAATATCCCACACGTTGTGTATTTTTGTGATTATGTACTAGCTCTATCTACCATTGTTTGCTGTCACGAAAGGCTATGTAACTATGTACCTGACGAGGCCAATGTATAACTATTGATCGACATATTTCTTTAGAAAGATGTTTGCCACAAGGTGAAATATGATTACCAATGTAATTTACAAAACCTATGCCAAAAATACTTGTATTTATCACAGTATAACAAAAGCAACTCGTCATCAACTACGTATCTACATGAAAAATGAAGAGGTCGAATATCTAAAATGGCACGAGCATGCACTTTCTTTATCGAAATAAAAAGTAGTTACAGAGTTGGCTGTGGCCCAGGCGTCCCCGCTGACTTGTTATGTAGGTCAGTCATTCCATCCTCATTTGACGTCGACAGCCGCAGTTCTGAGGGCACACAGCATGTTCAACAGAGTGTAACGCATTAACACGGTTAAACGACAGAACAAAACATGCGAAATAAAAACAAGACCCTAACTGCGCACCTATCAAATCTATTTTATTCCCTAACCTAGATAT